ATTATAATATCATAATATCATAATATCATAATATCATAATATCATAATATCATAATATCATAATATTATAATAATAGATAGTATTAAGGAGGTAAAAAGAAGAAACAAACATTGGAGTACTTTCCATCCGCCGTTGATGGGAGATCTTGCCAAGGAAGACTTCCTTTGAGCAAGTAGACGAATAAATAAGCCAAACTCTCCATGTCATCGCGACGAGACAATTCCATTCCCAAATGAGCATGAATGGACGCATATCGAGCCGTGCCAACAAGCCCATATCCATCTTTCATTTGAATGTGATGGTGATTCTCAAATTTTCTGTAACGCTTTGCGAGGCCGAAGTCGATGACGTAGACGACGTTGTTTTCCATTAAAAAGTTGTTTGGCTTGACATCTCGATGGATGACATTTTTTGAGTGGATAATTTCTCGATGTTATTTCACTTCAAATGTTATTCATTTGTTATTCTCAAAAAAATGTTCAATGTTAAAATTGTGGTATAAAAAACAAACCAAATCGCATTAAGAGTTGAACGGCTATTATACACACCGACACTACCGTTAACTTCTGTTTCGCTTTCATTAAGTCTTCTAAGGAGGGCCCAAGCAGTTGCATCACTATGGCATTGTACTCCCCTTCAGTCCCATAATACATGATCTTAGGAAAACCAACATATCCCGTTAACAATGAATAGATGCGACTCTCAAAAAAGAGTTGCTGCGGCTTTTTGTCGGTCCGTTCAAGTTTCACCGCACACTTCGTGTTGTTCACCGTGTTCTCTGCTGAATATATCTCACCAAAAGATCCGCCTCCCATTTTATGGATCAGTCGGTATTGGTCATTCACTCGATACTCCATCAACCTTTTTAAAGTTCTCTTCACATCGCTTTTCTTCGCCAATTTCAGGATTTGTATCAATGGAAGTTTTGTTACTGTATTTAAAACGTCCATTATCGCCGTGACTTCTTAAATTAACTATTCTTATAGTTCACTTTACTAGATAATTATAATAAACTTTGTACAATAGTACCAAAGCTTACAAAAAAAAAATGCACAGCAAATCAAGTCAAATCAATTGACCAGGTCGTATCCACACGCTCTGTTTTACAGAACCTGGAATGTCACTTATAGTAACCACCTCGTTTACCTTTCTTTTTGATATTGTTAATGGGCTTGTTAAACGGCTTATAACCTCCTCTCTTTGTGCTGTTCTCTTTTTCGGCTGCTTGTTGTTGCACTTTTTCAGCCTGTTGCCGTTCTCTCTCTTCTTTTACTTTCTTTTCTTCTTGCTCCTTCTGCTCAATAGCATCAAGTTGTTTCTGTATACCAGCAACACGCTCGTTTTCTTTCTCTTCAAACTGTTTCGCTTTCTCGTTTATACTCATCGGAAGTTCTTTCGTTTTATCTTGTGGGACTAAAGACTTTAATGTCTCCAAAACAGCGTTAAAGTCATTTTCAAAAGTAGTGTTGTCGAAGCCCCAACAATTGCAAGCCATTTCTATCAACACTTTTTGCGTCGTTGTCATTTCACTCGTCACTGTTGGAAAGACTTTTTGAAGAAAAGTATCTTCCCATTCCCAATAAGGTGTTTTGACTCCACCCTTATTTGCAACACAGTACAAAACTGTACCCAACGCAAACATTACCCGTTTGTGTTTTTCCTGTTTCGTGGCATCTTCACTTTGTAAATCAGTTTGGCTTTCTTCCTCAAACTCGTTGATATTTTCTGGTGTCAAAAAATAGGCCGTCATCTCTTCGTAACTTTTCAACAACCTTCTCTCGTTCTTTTCACATTCTTTTAAACTTATTCTTCCATTGTCAACAACAAAGTTGTACAGATTCAGGTCGTAGAGACTTGTATTGTCGCAAATCCCTTCAGTCACCATAAAAATGCGCTCTTCCAAAGTCAAAACGTCGTTAAGAGAAAACAACGACGCTTCTTTTCTTCTCACTTCCTTGATGAGTGTTTCTTTTGTTTTCTTTTTGTCGACTTCCTTTTCTACTTTTTTCTGAATTATCTTATCGTCCGGTTTGGCCGTATCAAGTTTTGGGAACAATTTGTCGTATGACTCAAACCGTATCAAACAACTCACATCTCTACTTTCTATTTCGCTCGAACTTCTGATTTCAAATTCCATCACCAAGTTAAGTTCAACTTGTTTTTTGAATGCGGTTGCAGTAAACATCGTAAAGAGATCCTCACCCATTATAACATGTGAACAAAATTCTCCTTTGATATTGCACCCACCCGGTGATTTTTTGCCTTTGAATGTAACACTCAAAGGCTCGGTAAAATAATTTGAAACACAAATGGTAATTTCAGCTTCATTTTTAAGAACATGAATATCACTTATAGTGATCTCCAAATCATTAAATACGCTCGGACGCAGCGCATCAACAGTATTTTGCTGCAGTTCATCTTCGATGATTACAAAAGATGTGTAGTCCACAGTAATTGTAGTAACAGGTTTTTGGGTATTTTTTTCAATCACGTCTAAAAAAATCGCGAAAGGTCCATCAGCGTACTTTTTGAAAGTGATGAAACAACCCTTCACAACACAACTGTTTTTATACCCATAGTACTTGTCCTTTGGAATGTCAACAACAAACGGACACTCCTCATCATTTCGTTGTTCGAGTCTGATTTCCATATGTTCGTTGTTTGTCAGTTTAAGTGGGATGAGAGTTTTCTTTCCAACAGTTGTTACATCAGCGTTTTCTACTGTTGCGGTAATGTCATATTCCTTTTGGATTTTGTCTTCACTTTGTGTTGAGACTTTGAGTGATTCTTTCTCTTTTTCTTCTTTTTTGTTTCCATTGTCTTCAACTTTCATATCTTCTGTTGTATCTTTGGTGTCAGTATGTAAGTCTTTGGGATCTTGAGTCTCTTTTAGTTGAACCTCCTTCTTTTCCACATCTTTTTGATCTTTGACTTCCTCAATTTTTCCAGCTTTATCAATTCCATTCGTTCCGCCACCAACAAATTTGACAACAAGATTTTTTGAGATTGTTTTTTGGCCGTCTCTCAAAAAATTGACCGGAATGGTGACACTCTTATCCTCAGAAAATTGACGATCAAATGGGAGCGAAACTTCCAAAAGGTCGTCTTCTGCGAATCCTATCACATTACTATACTCTATCCCCAATTCCGCGCTTTTAATTGAAACTTCAAAATCGCAATTCGTTGTGTTATTAATTGCAAATGCAATCTCGTTTTGTTCAGGATAAAGTGTAATACAATTTGGTAAAAGTGTAATACAGTTATGGTTTGCGTTTGTCCCATCGTTTTGAGTTTTAAATTTCTTTTGCTTTTTATTTCTTTTGTTTGCTCCCGTCTTGTTGTCACTCACTTTCGTTTTGTTCATAAAGCATACAAACCATTTTCCTTTCCAAGTTCTTTATTAAAATGTTTAGTATATATATTATTAATAAACTATTTTTAAACCATATTAAAATTAATATTAAAAATATATAAAACTCGAGTTAATCAAAATTTTTGAATCTTAACTATTTGTTATTAAATTTGTTTTACAAAGTTTTTTTAAAACTTTTCGTTATTTATTTATTTAATTATACAAAACTATATCAAATAGTATATAACCAGATTTCCACTCAATTCACATTTTAATAGTATATTTCTTATTTCTTGCATATATTAATAAAAAAAAGATTTAATAGTAAATTTCTTATTAAAAAATAAGTTAACGATGAATAGAATATTAATAGTTTTAAACTGATATAGTAATTCAATAGAAATTTAATGATAATCAAAAGAACCCGAAATGAACGATAAAATGACTTAGATCAAGGAGACTGAAGTTGGATAAGTCGAGTCTCTTCCGATACCACATCTGTTGTTCTGGTTTCTAGCCAACAAGAAGTAACCTTCATCACCCCAAGAAGTTCCCCATGAGTTTCTAATGATCCAGTATTCACCATCAGTGTTCTTTCCATATCCGACAAGAGTGACGCAGTGGTCCATAACTATTCTCTTGCAGTTAGCGTCGTTGTAGATAGTTCCCTTCTTATACAATTGGAATGAAGCGCGAGAAGCGTCCATACCGACAGCAACAGGGCCGTAAGTAGCAGTGATTTCTTGAAGGCCAGTTTCACTTCCGTCAGTGACTCTTTTATGACCAGCGACTGTGGCGACGTTCTTGACAGCAGTGTTGCAAGTCCCATCAGCGGCCTTATATGGGTATGAAGTTTCCAAAGTGATACCTTTGTTATTCTTAATAAAAGTGAATGAATTGTCTGGATGTCCACCCGAGCAGCCATTGTCTGTAGTATCACAGTCGATCAATTGTTGTTCGGAGTATGAATAAAGCTTTCCAAGATCCTTATTAACTCTTCCTTCCATCACAGCGGTGGTACAGAAAGTCCAGCAACTGCCACATTGGGCTTGATCTTTAGCTGGATTCATAATTGATCTCCAATCAACGGATTCTGGGGCAGATTTAACAGATCGCTTCTCAGTCACTCCTTCTGGGACTTTGTATGACATCCCCAAGTGTGTCTTAATGAATTCTTCATGAGTCTGATCAGCAAAGACATTCAATTCAGTGTTGGCGGTGTTCTCAACAAATCTCTTGTTGTCGAGATATACAGCAAGTCTGTAAAGGTACTCAGCCTTGTTGGCATACGCCTTGTGGTTTGTGGCAGCCCACTTGTCAAAGTTCATACTCGCCGATGCGAGTGCTATCAAAAGAAGAGAGAACATATGACTTTCAAGTACTCGCTGAACTATATATATACTATACTTTTTCTAGACACTTCCTTTTGAAAAAGCAACACTCACTGAATTTTACTTCTTTTGCTTGTGATTTTTTGATTGAGACGCGTTGACCCTTTGATGTACTATATTTATTAGATTAATATACTATTATTTTTATTAATAAATGGTGCAGCAGTTTTTACTGGAAAGAACAAGTTTAGTTTTTTTTAAATGAAATATTACTATTTAAATCAAAAAGTATAGTTTATTGGTTATTTTATTATAATAGATATTAGTTTTAATTAGAGTTGATAAACAACGTGGAAACATTATTTGATGTTTTGCAAAAAAAAATAAAAACATTTTTTGGGGTTGATTCTTTCTATTTTTGTAAATAAATCGGATTTTGGAAACATTCTAAACAGCTTTTAAAATATGGTTTTATTATTAGTTTGTTTATTCTTTTAAATGGTTTTTCATTTTGAGACAGGAATATCGAAATAGTTTATTTATAATTTATTCATAGATTTATAATAAAACCGATGTGTTTCATTGGATAACTCTTTTATTTGATTTCGAATAACTATTTTATTCCAATCCAATCAATTTTTGTTGTTATCAAAATAATATTGCGACAAAGAGATGTAATATTTCAGGAAATTATTGAAATAATAATTCTCATTGTTTTTTAATTATTGATGTTTTGGCTAATGCCCGATTTTTTTACATAAAAACTGAATGATATATTGTCCACCAGATTTAATTAATAAAATGATTCTAGTTTTTCAATTGTAATTAATGAATATCTTTATATGAACTATTTAAATGGGTTGAGATTTCGTTTTTACATTTTAAAAAAACAAATTTTTTTTTTTGTATAAAAAACTATTTTTAAAACAAGTTCCCGTTTTCAAAAAGTTTTTGTTAATTATTTTTAAACCAGAAAAGTTTAATTCTTTTTTTGTTTTTTATTTTGATTTTGATAACATTTTAATAATATTTTGTTATTTAAATAATACTATTGTACAATTTGAATAATATTCCAATTAAAACAATTTGATATTAATTTAAGATTACTAAACAATATAATAATTTAATTTTAAAATATTAAATTATCAATTTAATTTTTATTTTTATTAGAATTTATTAATAAAAATACCAAATCATAATTAATACAAAGTATTAAAACTAAATTTCAAGTAAAATAAGAACTCAATAAAGAACCTCAAACTTGAATCACAAAAATGATTTTAGAACCAATCCATATCAAAACTGTATTCAAATATCTTCCTCCAAATTGCTACATCTTCTTTTTGGCAATTAACAAGAAGTATTGTGACGCTTCTATTGAACAACCATCTGCGTATCTGATTGGCCGTCAAACACTCAAAGTACCCACCATCGCCGAGCTGACTATTTTTGGTCCAATTGATTTCGACTATCTTCCCACAACTATTGATTCTTTGGTACTCAAAGGTAGTTATCCTTCACAAGTAATTGTTAAATTACTTCAAAAATACTCTTTTAAAACTCTTAAACTTGAAGGAATTGAATGCAACACGATGGGCGAGTTTAAACACATTCACCAACTTCTTGGCACTCAAACAAAATTGGTGGATTTAAAGTACGTTTGTCCACCAACCGACCCATCGTTAATCAACTTAACTTCTCTTCAAAACTTGACGAAGCTTCATGTCCGTTTAATTCCGAGGATGATCCCAATCATCAAGAAATTCCAAGGCCTAAAAAACTTAATTCTTGATTTCGGCGCTCAAAGTATCGCAAAAATCACTGAAGACAACAACAACACAAATCCGTTTAACTCACTCTCCGTGTTACTCTCATTGACTTCTTTAAAAATAATTGCAGACTCAATTAAACAACTTTCGTCGTTGAACGATTTGACTTCATTGAAGTCACTCAAAGTCCTTGACCTTCTCGATGTTAACATCTCAAGTGCGCCAAAATTGGTCTTTTTGACGACATTGAGAAATTTAAAGAAAGTGCTCCTCCGGTGTAAATCCGCGCTTAAAGCACCTCTCGTTCTGGCAGACTATCTCAAAATGCCGGCGATTTTTGAGATTGAGATTGCAGCGTTTCACCATGATTTTGAGGCATCAAAGTCGTTCGAGCCAATTGAAAAATGTCAAAGAAAGGCTGTAGGGACAATTCAATCGGTTGAATTTTCTCGCAATACTTCACAATTTGAAAAAATCATTCCACTCATTTCGGCAAGATTTTCGTTTGACAATTTGAGTGCCACCTCATGTCCCAATTTTACGATGAAAGCACTGGAAAGTGTTGATTTGAGAAGTTTAAGAGGTTTGACGTTGGTGCAATGCCTAAAAATCAAGGACATCTCATTTTTGAAGAATTGTGACATCTTGACTTCACTTGAAGTTTCAAAAATCAATCTCGAGATTGGGGAAGCAGAACGAAACATACCTTTGGGGGTGCTTTCTGTGGGACAAATCAAAGAATTTGATGTGAGTTGCTTAACACAACTTACTGGACTTTACTCACTGTCACTCAAGGAAATCCCAACGCTCAAAAATGTCGACAAAATGACGCAACTGATGAAAATCAGTGTTGATAACTGTAAAGATTTCTGCTTGATTGATTTGAAGGATGCACCAAACTTGATGGAAGTTTCACTTAAAAAGGTGTCTGCAAGCAACTCGACTGTGTTTGCAAGCTCGCTAAAGAGTCTAACAAGAATCGACTTAGAGGAGATTGAAGAGTGTAAATGGGGGAATAACGAACTGTTTGGAATTGCGGGATGTGCAAATTTAAAAGCTTTAGTCATCAAAAATGTGAATTCCTTTGACGACAACGTGAGAAAGACTCTTAGTGAAGAGTTGCCCAATTTAAAAATAATATCTTGATCCATTCGTTCTTAATACTACTATTCTCATACACATTTAATAATTATTTTATTAACAATATATAGTTATATACAATTTAAGTCAACAAACTAAATAATTGATTAAAATAATAGTATATAAAAAAGTGAAAAAATTCAAAAACAAATGTGTAAATTAATAAAATTAATAATAAAACAAATTAAATTTATTAGTTACAATTTTTTGAAGAAACTCGAAAATGAATGACAAGTGTTTTGTTTGTAGCTCTCTTTGTGACGTCTTTCGCAGCGTATCAAAGTGGCGATGCTATTCCTACTCAATATCAAATTAAAACGACTGATGTTTTATACAAATGGGAATCTCTTCCATATTCGGCTCGCCCCAAATTTGGCCAAGAGTCTACTTTCACTCTCGAACAAATCGGAGCAACTTTCTTCTACAACGACGACTTCAAAATGTTTGTTCAGAGAACTATAGAATTATCATAAAAATACTATAAATTTATTATACATCAATATACCATTTTTGTAGGTTTATTTACTATTAATTAAAAGTGAGGGTGAAAACTGACAGACAGACGGTTCTCTTTTCAAAATGGGAGGTTTGTTTCGCCGTTCATCGCAATCCACTCAAAAGGAGTTGCGATGGCAACAGACGCGGTCATCACCTTTGGGGTGTCACACGCAAATATCACGAGTATTGCACTCGTTCCGCATTGTTTGTTTTACTATACAATTATAATTAAAATACTATAAAATGGAGCATTATTGAAATTATTTCATGACTAGTAAATATATAATAACTTACTAGTAAAAGATAACACGCCGATGAAGTCTGAGACGTTTGGGTATGTCTCATTCACGTACCGTTTTAAAGAGAAAACGCATGAGTACACGGAGATTAGTAAAGGAGTTGTTACTGCAATTTCCCTCTTATTTACGGCAGTCTTGGCTGTTTTGACTTACGTCCGTCAGTCTAAAAAATAACACTTTATTAGTTTTTTTAACTACAATAACTCAGTGAATAGTTTTAATTATTTTCAATTAGTTACAGAACCATAAAAATAGTAACTCACTGGTGAGGAATGTCCACACGATCTCGTCTTTTTCTCGGAATGTCTTTGAGTAGTACCACCGAGTAGTTAAAAGTATAGTACAATACTAATAACGTCTAGTAAAACGCGGTCACAAAAACTATTAAAGGGGGCCGGGAACTTAAAAATCCAGAGAAGGATGCCGAGATTTGAGATCAAACGGAAGGTGAGCACGAAATCGACGCGAGTGAAGTGTGTCGATTTCCATCCGAAGGAGCCGTGGGTGTTAGCTGCGTTACACACCGGTTCGATCTACATCTTGAATTACCAAACGAAGTCGATAGTGAAGACTGTTGAGGTAGTCGATAAACCGATTCGCTGTGCGAGATTTATGGCACGGAAAGAGCAGATAGTAGTAGGTTCTGATGATCGGATGATTCGTGTGTATAACTACAATACGATGACTTTAGAGAAATCGTTTGAGGCTCACAGTGATTATATTCGAGACATTATAGTACACCCGACCCTTCCTTATATCTTGACATGCTCTGATGATAAGACTATTAAGTGCTTCAACTTCGACCAGAACTTTGCGGAGATCATGACATTTACGGGACACGTCAATGCGGTGATGGCGCTTGCGTTCAATCCTAAAGACCCGAACATCTTTGCGTCTGCTTCATTAGATGGGACTGTTAAAGTGTGGGGCCTCAATTCGAATTCGCCTCATTTCACATTGGAAGGACATGAGGCGGGAGTTTGCTGTGTAGCGTATCTCCAGAATGACACGCGCCCTTATTTGTTATCAGCTGGGGAAGACACTGTCATCAGAGTGTGGGACTATCAGACTAAAGCGTGTGTGAGTCAATTAGAAGGGCACACGGATGTCATTTGGAGTTTGAAGTGCCATGAAGACTTACCGATCATTGCTTCTGCGTCTGAAGACTCGACGGTTCGCATTTGGAACATTCAAACGAATAAGATCGAACGGGTCTTAAATTACGATTTTGAGAGGAATTGGACGTTGTCCTTCTTTGGGAATTTACTTGCGATTGGAGCGGATCAAGGCACGTTGGTGATCAAAATAGGGTCTGACGAGCCGACGATTACGATGGATGGGACGGGGAAGATTATATTGACGAAGCGACAAGATGCGGTGCTGATGAATTGTAAAGGGATGGAAGGAGCTGATGGGGAGGCGTTAAGTCTTCCTGTGAAAGAACTTGGTGTAGTCGATGTGTACCCGCAAACGATTAAGTTCTCACCGAATGGGCGATTTGTAGCTATAGTAGGGGATGCTGATTATATCATTTATACGACACTTGCGTGGAGGAATGTGAAGTATGGGAATTGCAGTGGTTTTGTGTGGAGTGATGATGGGGGCTATGCAGTCTTAGACAATGGAGGGAATGTGAAGATCTTTAATAACAAATTTGAAGAAGCGGAGGGCCAAGTGTTACTTGAAGAAGCACCGGAAGCGATCTTTGGGGGGAATTTGTTAACAGTGAAATACAATGGGACGCTTGCGTTATACACCTGGGAAGGCAAATTTATTACGGAGATTCAAATTAATGCGAAGAATGTGAAGTGGTCGGACACTGATCTTCTTTCCATCACTTCAGAAGGGAGTTACTTTATCTTACGTTACAACGAGAAGGTAGTGAGGGACTTCTTTATGAAGAATAAGAAAGCGCCAGAAGATGGGTTGACCGAAGCGTTTGAAGTGTTAAGTGAGATACCTGAGACGGTGAAGAGTGGGGAATGGTATGGGGATGCTTTCATTTATATCAACCATAACAATTCCTTATGTTATTATGTAGGAGCGTTCTGTTCTGTTATCACCCATTTAGAAGGGAATATGTTTCTGTTGGGATACCTTCCTAAAGAGAATAAAGTCGTCGTGAGTGATGTGAAAGGAGAAGCCATTGTGTCGTATCAACTGTTAAATGCACTGTTGGTGTTCCAATCTGCCGTGTTACGTAATGATAAAGAGAAGATTAAAGAATTCTTGGGACTGATACCAAAGGAAAAGCTCAGTGTTGCAGCTACATTCTTAAAACAACATAATTATCCCGAATTGGCACTGTCGATATCGGACGACCCCGAATTCAAATTTGACTTGGCAATGTCACTCAACAAAATCGAGTTGGCTAGAGAAATGGCGGAGATCATTAATGACGACCATCAATGGAAAGAACTCACAAAATTGTATTTGGACGAAGACGAGATCGATGAGGCCGTCGAGTGCATGTTCAAAGGAAACGACTGGAGCGGAATCTTGTTGTTTGCAGTGTCTTTGAACGACGCAGAACTCGTCGAAAGACTCATGAAAATCACTGAGGAAAAGGAGATCTGGAACATTTGCTTCGTCTGCGCTCATATCTTACAAATCAAAGAGAAGTGCGTCGATATCCTTCAAAAGACTAGTAGATACCCAGAAGCTGCTATGTACGCAGTCACTTATGGCCTCCCTAATGAACTCGCTAAGGACATCGTCCAACACTGGAAAGACGAGTTGAAGGAAATCTACCCAAAACAGGCGGACGCACTTGCTAACCCTCTCGACAACCCGGACCTCTTTGTTGTTAATTCAGAGCAATAATGCTTAATTCCAGACTTCTTTTTAATCTTTGTTTATAATCATTAAACTCTTTCTATAATCATTGAGTTTATAATTTCATCTCGAGTAAATGAGAATTTTGTTTCTTATGAACAAAAAAACTTGTGGATAATTAAGTGTTAAATAATAAAAATAATATTAGTAAAGTCTAATATTCGTATTGTAATATTAAATGTACTATAATTAAAGGTTTAATTATAATACATAAAAACAAGCTACAAACAAAAAACACATTTTGATTATTAGTTATATAATAGTAATGAGTATTATAAATTGTAATTATGATAAATAATTAAAAATTATAATAAAAATTAATAACATCTTCATTATTATTTATTTATAATATAATTATTTAATTATAAATTTCAATTGTTAGTAAATTATTTCATTTTGTCAATAGAGAAAAAATCTCAAGATTGTAAAAGGTGGAAAGAAAGTGTTTTTGAAGTGCAAAAATTTGAGTGAATAACATGGATTTCCTCGAACCTAAAATCAAGGTTGCAACAAAAAAGGCGTGTAACTCAATGAACACTCCCCCGAAGCCTAAGCACATTAAGACCATCATCGCAAAAAGTTACACGAATGATATGCCAATGTTCTACCAAGAACTTAACAAAACCATGCTTTCGAACAACATCCTTCATCAGTACAAGTCGTTTGTGACACTCCACCGAGTACTTCGTGACGGTTCACCTTCACTTATTGGCGGATATTTGGACTCGTTCTACCCAGTGATTTACAAAGCTTATGTTAAGCTCCAACAACAAAATAACACCGAGCCACTGCTCCAAATTACAAAGCATTACGCCCAGTACATCCAGATGAGGGTTGTCTTCCATCAACAACACAGATTTTTCACCGGTGCTCTGAACATTCCAGAGTATGAAACACTTCCCGAGGAATACTACACCGACTTAAAGTGCTTGTCGACACTTTCTTACATCATGGACTTGATGGATTACTTGCTTGTTGTGCCATTACCAATTATCCACAATTACAGCTCAGACCGCACGAAATTGGACTGCACAATTCCACTCATTTTAGATGCCAACGAACTGTACAACGTCATCATCTTTTTCATGCATAACTTGGCGCACATCGAGGAGAACGAGTCTGTTTTTACATTCTTGTACAACAGATTACTGAGGATTTACCAAGCCCTTGTGAATTTATTTGGTGAAGCAAGAAACAATTTGTACATATCGAACAACATGACTGTGCCGACTCTGAAACCATTGCCTACATTCAACGTAACCCAACAACAGAAAGATGAGTATAGACTCAAACACCCAAATTGCATCACAAAAGAGAAAGATCGTATTGCGCCAAAGTATACAAAAGAGATGAATGATGACGGTGAAACAAAAGAGCTTTGCAAAGTTGGAAATCAGTTCGTTAGAATTTTGACTCAGTTCATTCAAGTGTGCTCATTGCCTACTGCAGACAAAGAAAGCCCCGATTTCAAGCTGATGGCAATGTTGAAGTGTCTGATTGATGAATTGCAACAACCAGAAAACTACCCAGCTCTTAAGACCCATATTTGGAAAACGTTCATTGGAACACATTTCCTAATGCAAAAGGAGAACGCCATTCATGTCGTCGAGATAAAACAGAACATTCTGGTGATGGAGCTCGTCCAATGTATTGACAATATTGAGAACGAGCTCATACGAGTATGTAAAACTCATGACGGAATTGATGAATTTAACAAAAGTGTCGATGAATTTATTTCATTCATTGACAAACAGTTGAAAGAAGTCTCCAACAAACGAACTAAGAACGACCAAATATTCAACGCGCTTGACTTAGAGCTTGGTGGGCTTTCTGTGGACAACTTTGACTGGGACGGATTAAGTATTGCAGTTCCAAAAACCGACAAAGTTCCAATCGTCTGCAAAGTTGAAACAAAAAGCAAAACCGTCAACCCAAAGTTCAAAGAGTTGTTGGACGCGTCGAGAAAGCTTGCTGCAGAAACTCAGAATCTCGCCATTTGTGCCAAAAACATGGACAGTAGTGAAGACACTTTCCCTTCTTTTTAGGAACAAAAAGAATGTATTGTAATTTTACTTTGACAAAAGTGGTTGTTTCCAAAATGGACTGGTAGTTCTTTCATACCAACAGTCAGCGTCAATGTTATTTGACCAGTTACACCTAATATCCATGTCGATTGGTGTAAAATGAGATTGTATCATAATAATTCGTATGAACGTCAATTATCTTAACAAGTTTAATATTCTGGTGAATCCTGAATGTATACGTCTAAGAAGTCTTGTAAGTTGTTCTTTTGTATTAAACTATTTTTGTCAGTGATATTTGAATAGTTTATTTCTAGCTTCCATTACTTCTTCTTTTCAAGTATTTTTTTCTTCTACTTTTAAACAAACGAAGTTTAACTTCATCATGCCCCAACCAAATAACTGTACCATATTAAATAGTTTATTAATAGTAAAATGTACTATAAAAAGTATCCAAAAATGCACAAGGAATGTGAAGCGATAACGGTTCTGTTCTCAAAGTCATTTAGTTTTGATGTCTTGGTAGAAATCGGCGAGTAAATTGCTTAAAATATTTAAAAAAGAGGCAGCAATTTCATCCCGAGAAAAGACGCCATTTTTTAGTGCAACGCAAACACTTCACATCCAATCGAAAAACAATAAAAAAACTTAGAAATCCCAAAACGAAATGGCGAGTCTTCCGCCCAAGTCCAAGTCTTTAAATGTTGGTGGGCCCAAAGGCGATATCATGTCGATGTCGAACTCATCGATTGTGCCCTCATCCTTATTAACGAGTTCCCAGAATTTAACGAGCTCGACACCGAAGAGTGGGTTAGTCCCCGAGTTAAAAAAGAAGAAGTCCTCGGGGCTTTCCAAGAGTCAAATTTCATTAGAGAGTCTTGAGGCGTTACAGTTCCAGACGCCTCAAGTTGGGTGTTTTAAAGACGATCATTATCAAGTCGAACTGACGATGAACCCGCAACAGAAGTTAAATCCGTTTTATGAGGATATGGCGTGGTCTGTTGCGTTAAATAGTGAAGGGACGTTACTTCTAGTAGGTGGGAAGAGTGGGAAGATCACGGGGTATAAAGTGAGTAACGGAGTCGTTCACAAAGAGCCTCAATTAGTCTTTGAAAAGCACAGTGGTGAAGTTCTGTCGATCATCTTTTTGAGTGAGACATTGGCGTGTAGTTCTTCCTCTAACAAAGAAATTTTCATTTGGCAGACAACCAAAAACACAATGAATAATTATAAGAAAATCACCGTCGACGATAACTGTTTGGTCTTAAAAAAAGGAAAGGACAACAGTGTCGTCTTAGGACTCTTAAACGGCGTCTTGGAAATTTGGGACTACGTGGCACTCACTAAAATTCGGTCGTATGAAATTAAGGCATCCATCACAGCCGTCGAAATCGGTCACAAGGAAAAACAAGACGGCTACTACTACGTCGGTACAATGGATGGCACACTCATCGTTCTCTTCGACTACGTTTGTCACTTCACCCATTCTCTCTTTAATGTACTATACTTTATAATATAATTATAGATTTGGCGGGATAGAACAGGAGATAGTATTTATTAACTATAAATTATAGTACATTAAATTGGCTGAGTTGTAACACGGTAACTCATCACGCAGGACGGAAGTCTAAAGCTTGTTACAAGCTTAACGAGTAAGGAGCAAGCGATGATATGTCATATCATCGCACATCCAGTTGAGCCGTTGATCTATGTGACATATTCTTCAAATAAGTTAATGGTATATAGTACTGATGTGTCTATAGGAATACTCGCTGTAGCAACTTATAAAGGTTTCTACACGAACGGGTATGCTGTCCATCCCACACTTCACCCAAACGGCAAGACACTTTTTATCGGATCAGCAACACATGGAATTTACGTCTTTCCATTCATTCAGTTCCCGATAAGTAAAAAGACGGAGATTATAGGATTCAAAAACAATTTGTTCATTGCAGAAAAGACGCCCGTTGTCCATGTCGTCTTCTTAAATGCTAACAACGCTTTGTTCATTGATGCTAAGGGAAATGCAGCTGTCTTCTCAGTCGAAATTAATTGATTTCGTGTTTGGTTAATTTAACTAGATGTTAATAATTAATTAGTAATTGTTATGGTATGACTTTTATTATTATTATTATAAATAGTTTTCTCATATTTTTTGTGTTGTTTCTTTATTAAATTGTTACTATTTTTTTACTACAAAAATGTTGTTTTTCCACAATGAAACAGGCCTTCAATTGTTTTAATTTTTTAATATAAATTTAATATAACTATTTTACATAATAAAAACATATAGTATATTAAAACTATAACCCACTAAAAAAGAAGAATAACTTCAACTCAAAAAAACTAATAATACTTAAATATATCTAAAGTATAAATAGAATAGATACTATTATATTTCTTATTCCACCTTAAAAAGATAATTGATATGTACAAGTGGGTCACATTTGGTGCAATGACATTATCAACTCTATTAGTGATGTTTGGAGCTTCTCCGATCTTTGAAGTGAACGAAGATTCAATAGAAATAACCCCAGAACCTCTTAATACTTCAGAGATACTTGACTTTATTAAAAAAGATGGTTCTTTTTATAATTCTATGGATGTGAGTAAAACTCAAGATCTCATTCATGAGATTGGAGAGGATTCTGAACAATCTCAAATCGAACCAATCGCTGTGCGGAAAGAAAATGAAGAAACACTGGAAATCATAGAAAAAGAAGTTATTCAAGAGGAAAACAGTGATTTGAAAAAAGATCAACTATTTGAAAATGAAATGAAAAAGAGAGAAGTTGTGATTGTTAAAAATGAAAAAGGAGATTATGAACTTTTAGTCATCAACTGTGTCGTTTCGCTCTTCATCGCAGTGATTGAAACTCACTTCACAATCACAATATTCTTTTCGTAATACCTTTTTTATAATTACTTTTTACTTTTTACAGAAGGATGATAATAAGAATAAACTAATTAGAAAATATATAACAACTAAAGTATTTCTAATAATAAAACCCCTTAGTTTTAATTACTATTACTAATTTAGATTAAATTATTAATAAATTATTTATTAACAAGGATTTTTCTTTCATTGAGTGACCAAACCCATTGAAGTTTTCCCGTAAGTTGTTCCCAACTTACAGGAAAACATAAGCCCCCAAAAAAATATTATAAATATAATTATTTAAAAACCATATAACCAATAACACAATTAATAACATAAATAAGGTTTCGACCATTTGACCAATCATTTTCAAACATCTCAAAGTGAATAAATAGAGTTGATTTGGTGACAATTAAGAACAAAATAACTATAAAATAACTATAAAATAACTATAAAATAACGCAAATAAACTTGGAGGAAAGTTTAGAAGTCTTTTCGAAAATCAATGAGTTGATAAACTGGCTGTCTGAAACTTCACGATTCTCTTTCCTTGACGCTCACGACGCATCTTATTTCTTTGATTTTCGTTATTTTATATTTTCAGTTACAATTGTTTGATTCATAATTGTATTTGATCGTTTAATGTGTGTTAGCTAACACGTTTTTGAACATATTAACATCGTTTTTTGTGTTTACGTCGTGTACCAAATAAATCGTTTTATTTGTTGATGTAAAAATATTAAAAAAAAATAAAAATACCAAAAGCATCGTTTCTTTGTTTTTGGCGTGAATTGTTGACTATAGAATTTATTGTTATTTTGTTTTTTAATGTATTTTTTGAGTTGTAAAAAAGAAAAAAAACAACCAATCATAATCGATAATTAAGGTTGATGAAATAAATAAAATTTTTGGACAGTATTTATTGTTTATTTGATAATAACATAACTAATTAATTATAGTACAATGAAGTGATTATAAATTCCACCATATTTTCGTAAATCTACAATACCAGTCAAAAGTGTCTCTTTTTTCATAATACAGCACAAATACGCATTTGTTTGTTGTAAAATAGAACGTGAAATTGTTTTTTAATATTTAAAATTATTTGAAAGTTAATTTAAGTTTTAATTACACAAACAATCCAACTTTAAGAATATATTTTTTAAATGAAAGACAAACCAGTTATCTATTTGTTGTTTTACAAATATACATTGTTGACTATAGTTATTTTATAATAATATTATTATAACAACTAAAATTGTTGTTTTTAAAATAGAAATAGATAATAAAAAAATAAAGAATTTATATTTTTTTTCAGTACGTTTAGAGTATTTTTTGGTACAAAATTTGTATTTTCAAATTTTGTATAGTTTAAATAGTATTGAAATAATAAAAAATAATATTGTTAAAAAACAAAGCTTAGGTATATAAACAAAAAATTTTTTACGTCTAATCGCCACAATGATGAGAATTTAGTGTGATCAACCATGATAAATACATACGTCTTCATCTCTGAGTGGCCTCTAATTATCAAATGACATCTTTTGCTTTGTGATAGTCGGTGGCTTAACATTTAATGTTTGGTTATTGTATCGAAAGCAAAGAGCGATAATAATAATAATAATAATAATAATAATAATAATAATAATAATAATAATAATAATAATAATAATAATAATAATAATAATAATAATAATTAATTTGTTTGTGTTTTTTTGTTTTATTTCATAAAAACATATAATTGTTTTATCATAATTATACTATAAACAATATGGTAGTGACACATCACAGTTGCACAATTTTAAGAACGACAACTACAAGTGAACTTTAAAATCTGTAAAATAATACATTTGTGTTAATTAACAGGATTTAATAAAACACGATTTAAAAATTCGAATAATTTCAGGCAAATCAACAAATCAAAAAGAAAAATGGTGGAATAAAAGCATAAATAAGTCGAAAAAAACAGAGTAATACAACCCTTCAAATAATAACTCGTAGTAAGGCCCTGAAAGGAAGAACTCCTTTCCAACGACCCGCTGTGGAGGCGGTGTCGTTGCAAGGGATGTCCCTTGTTTTATGTTCTTATTGTTGTCAACAAAATCCTTATAAAGCAACTCGACTATTTCGTTAGTTGTCATCTTTTTCCCCATCTTTTTGCTCAATTTTGTCAGTTGTTCGTATAAACACTTTTTCACGCGAATTCTACTTGCCGTCTCGTCAGGGTGTGGTTTTGTCTAAAAATTAATACATCAATACACTTGTTGGTTCAAACGTATTGCCGATTGAACAGAATGAATTATTAAAATAGTGTAATAGAAATGCAAACCGCAATTTTCTCTTTTTTTTCTTTCTCTTCCATTTTAGTTTTCAATTTTTCTTTTAAAGTTTTTTCAAAGGAAAATTTTTATTTGATTAATTTGAATTATAAATAAACTATAAATTTTACTTTACTTTATTTTCAACTCAATAGATTGTAATAGTATATATTACTATAAACAAACTTCAATAATTTACACTGATAATATTAGTTCAAATTAAAATCTTTTAAACTTAATAGAATGGACAATCGAGCGAAGAGGGCGATGTTAGCGCCCGTACGGTATTATGCTGATTTGATACGGAATGTTTGTTTTACAACTATAAAAAATAGTTTTTTAATTAATAACAAAGCAATTCTTGCTGAGATTTTTTCAACCCCAAGATTGACAACAAGAAACAAAAAGTGACGATCTGGTTATATGAGAATACCGCAATGAAAATTGAAGGGCGGATAACTGTTTGTTCCACCAATTACAATCCTAGTATTAATATTATACCAATAGTAATAGATAATTATAAGAAATAGTAATAACTGATTAGGCCTTTGACACGTATATGAACATCACATTAGAGCAAGCGGAGGAAGTCTATGTGAAAACGAGTAATCGCCGCTCGATAGGGAATATCATGTTAAAAGGGGACAACATAGCGGTAGTTCAAAAGATTTGAGTCCAGAGCGTCGATTGATTGTTTTGTCCCAAAAAGTTATGTAAAATTGTTATTAGTTTTCTCATTTCGCTGAATTGCAAGGATAAGTAAAAGTGACTAAAAGAGATTCAAAATGGTGGAAGGACAAATCTTAAGGGTTGCCCCTTTTTCTAGTTATTGCAGTTTGATGTCCGACGCCGTTCACCCAAAAATAACAAAAAAAGTGACGTTGACGGACTTGAGCGACGACACATCACTCGAGATGTCCTCTTCCACGGACGAGAAGTCTCTTCCCACCGTCACTCCACCATCCAATCCTCCCAGAAAGCGTGGACGGCCACGAAAGAGTGTCTCCGACAAAGTCGAGAAGCCTCCGATGATTTCTCATGCAGTGAAAAATTTACGGAAGCGCGACTTAACGCTTTGTCGCAATGTGTTTGCTGAAGACGAAGAAGAAGAAGAACCACCGAAGAGTACTTATAAGAAGAAAATGACAAAGAAAGTCATCACTCAAGTCTCCAGTGAATCGTCGGACTCTTCAATGGACTCGTTGGAGACTTCAGAAGACTCAGAAGATACCGAAGAAGGAAAGTACGACAAGACCAATTCAGACAGTGAAGCGCTCTTAACATTAGAGCGCCCGCGGACACGAATGCGCGAGAAGCGCAATTGTGAGAAGATCAGTTTTGATAAGGAGTGGGAAAAGAACTATAAAGTGCCGAAGAAGAAGAAAGTGACGACACCGACAAAGGCGTACAGTCCTGTTCCTGTTGCTCCGAACACCATTGACAAAGTGTTGAATTACCGGAAGAGAAGTGACAAGAAGGACATTGGATTGAAGGAGCTGGCGACCTTCAATTTTGAGAAAGAGGCGGAATTTGAAGTGAAATGGGGAGACATGTCATATCGCCACAACACGTGGGTGACGTTGGAGACATCGAAAGACATGAAGGGGTACTTGAAATTAAAGAACTATATTAAAACTATACGATTGAATGGGGAGATGTATGCCAATTCCACAGCCGAAGAGATCGAAGCGTATAATATCGAATTGGAGAGTCAACAAGCCTTGGTGGAGAGTTATAAGCGTGTTGAACGGATTGTCTCGGTGTATCTTGACGAGGGCAAAACGTATTTTGTGAAGTGGGTTGGTCTCCAATATGGGGAGTGTTCCTGGGAGTCTGAAGGGGATTTAACATTACCGGAAGACAAAGAAGCTATTCGCCAGTTTTATGAGAGAGAGCAAGAGACGTTGACGAAGAAGGCAGAGAAGTTAAAGCGGAGGTTTATTAAATATGTTGATGACGAGAACGCAAAATTGAAGTTACGTGATTACCAAATTGAAGGCGTGAATTGGCTGACATATGCCTTTTCTAAAAACGTGAATGTCATCTTAGCTGATGAGATGGGGTTGGGGAAGACGATACAAACCATCACATTCCTTCGCCATTTGTACGACAAGTGCAATTACGTCGGCCCCCATTTGGTCGTCGTTCCGTTGTCGACGATTAACAATTGGGCAAAGGAATTTGCGAAATGGGCGCCACGCATGAATTGTATTGTATACACGGGAGACGGCGAGAGCAGAGCAATCATTCGAAAGACAGAGATGGAGAGTACTAGTAAGAAACCGAAGTTTAACGTGTTATTAACGACCTTTGAATTAGTGATCAAAGACCAAGGGTTACTGAATTTGTATCACTGGGGGTACTTAGCCGTTGATGAAGCTCACCGACTGAAAAATGCGGAAGGTCAGTTGTATGAGGCGTTACTGAATTTACACACGGAGTGTAAACTCCTTATCACAGGAACACCACTTCAAAACACGTTGAAGGAGCTTTGGAGTTTACTTCACTTCCTACACCCCGAACAATTTCCAAATTTTGAGGACTTTGAGAAGACGCATAAAGTCAATGCAGCAGAAGAATTACAGAAATTCCATAGTGAATTGAAGCCATACATCTTGCGACGTATGAAGAAGGAGGTGGAGAAGAGTTTACCGCCGAAGAAGGAGCGAATACTTCGAGTAGGGTTGAGTGGGTTACAGAAGCAGTATTACCGATGGATCATAACGAAGAATGAGAGTGCTTTGAAGAAAGCTGTTAAACAACAGAAGATGTCGTTGATGAATATCATGATCGAGTTGAAGAAGTTGTGTAACCATCCTTTGTTGATCAACCAATCGATCTCTTATGATGAACAAGGGTTAATTGAGTCATGTGGGAAGATGGTGTTACTTGACAAGTTACTTGTGGAGTTAAAGAAAGACGGGCATCGAGTTTTAATCTTCAGTCAGATGGTGAGGATGTTAGACATCTTAGCGGAGTATATGAAGAAGCGAGGGTTTTCGTATCAACGCCTCGATGGGTCGATGGGGAAAGAACCTCGACAACGCGCGATGGAGCAGTTCAATGCAAAAGACTCGCGCGACTTCTGTTTCTTGTTATCGACGCGCGCTGGAGGACTTGGGATCAATTTGACGAGTGCGGACACGGTGATCATCTATGACAGTGATTGGAACCCACAGAACGATTTACAAGCGCAAGCGCGATGTCATCGTATCGGACAAGAGAAGATGGTGAACATCTATCGTCTTGTGACGGAAGGAAGTGTAGAAGAGAAGATCCTTATGAGTGCAAAGAAGAAGATGGTACTTGACCATTTAGTGATACAAACGATGGAGAAGAAGAAGAAGAATGGGAAGGAGTCCTTTGAGAAGGACGAGATTGACCGCATCATCAAATTTGGAGCGGCAAATATCTTTGGGAAAGATGAAGGGGAGCAGAAGAAGGTGGACTTGGAAGAAATAATGAAGCGTGGGGACGAACGAGAAGAGAAGTCTGAGGATGACGAGGATGAGTTGCTTGGCGCGTTTAATGTGGAGAATTTTGCGATTGGCGATGGGAAGAGTTTCTGGGATAAAGTCATTCAAGAGGAAGACGAGAAGGAGGCGAAGCGACTTGATTATGAAATACTTGGCATTGAAGAGAAGAAAGAAGCCAAAGACGAGAAGAGTGACCGGAAGAGGAAAGTTGAGAAAGAGGATCGAATAGACGAGAAGATAGTGAAGAGTGTGTTAAAAGGGATGAAGCGATTTGGGTTTCATCGGCGGGAGGAGGTTGTGAAGTGTGTGAAGCGGAGTATGAAAAAGGACAATGTAGCTTTAGAAGAGATTGTGAACAATTTGTGTGAGAGAATTAGTGCATCGTGCGACAGTTTAGATGGCGACGGACATATTCGGGACATCGAACGATACGTCGAAGGCGTCAAATTTTCGCCATTTGAGTTGAAACAGAAAAACGAAGAAATGAAGATGGTGGGGATCCTCATAAAGTACATGGACAAACACAACGACAAACTCCCATTTGAACTGAAGACCCCGCAATGGTCAGTGGAGATTGATTGGAAGGCTGAATTTGATGGACTGATTGTGAGAGGAATCAAGACGTTTGGCTTAGGGATGTGGAGTGATATGGGAAGGGAAGATGAAGGCGTTCAGAAGGTTATTGCAGCTGGTGCGACACCGATGCATATTCAACGAAGAGCGGAAATCATCTTGAAAGAGACGAAGGAATTAGTGAGGAGGAAAATGGCGAGAGATGAGAAGAGAAAGCGGACCACTGGTATAGCGAAGAGTGAACAGTTGAAAGACGGCAATGACATTAATAGTGTGTCGAGTGTCATTACAGTGAGTAAATTAACAAGTGAGAAACCAATTCAAAAGGTCAAAGATATCAATAATGAACATGAGAAGAGAATTGAACGAGTCGAACAGAAGCTTGAGAATGAGAAGAAGAAAGAAACACACTCTGAAAAAGCACAAACGAGTGTCAAAATGGAAGAGGAGAGTGAGACTGATGATGGATTCAGTGTTGTGATACACACCTGTGATGAATGGTTAGTTGGGTATGACAAATTGCAATGTCTGAGTAAATTGGAGAAAGTCAAAGATTGTCTTAAAAAGCTCAGGTACTTAAAAACACACCCAGACATCGAGGCTAAGCTTGCTGTGAGAAAGTTGGATAGATACCTTGGAATCATTAAAGAGGAAATAGATAAGTATGAAGACGAAGAGAAAACTTATAAGCAGTTGTGGTACTATGTCTCTACTTTCACTAATATGTCGATGGATGAGGTCCTCGAAGCATCGTGCGTCATCAGAAAAAGAAAGGAAGGGGGTGTCCCTGACATAAAGAACCCAAAGATGGAGTTGAAGTGATATGTGTTATCTAGTCGAGTTATGAATAGTTTAATAATTAATTAAACTATAATTCATTAGCTTGATTTTTTAATAAAAATTTATAATAAAATAAACTAAAAATATTGTCATTTTTAATTTAATTAAAACATACTATTTATATTAATTAAAAAAAATTATTATAAAAAATAACAATTTATTAATTTATTCTTTGTATAGTTGTTTATAAATAGATAAATTATAAAAAAGCACACTTTTTTTAATTGTTTTAATAAATATATAATAACTAATAGCTTAAAAACACAAGTTCGTTTTTTGCTATAATTTATAATTATAAATATAATTATAAATGAAAACATGTAATTATTATAAAAATTGAGTAATACTTACACAAACCCAAGAAAAAGCGTTGAACCACTCCTATCACAAAATTTCAAGATTTCAAATGTCGAAATAAAAGGTAAAGAGACTAAAAAGATGAAATAGATGGAGTCATCTCTCATCACCTGTTTCTATACTTTTGACACGCACAAAGAAGTTGTCATTCAATCATTTCCACATAGTTCCAAACCTAATAAAGAACTATTGAAATTACTATTTCCGATAGCGCCTTCTTCGTTAAATTGCAGTTTTTTTGTATATGAGACTTCGACGCGAAGTTACTGTTATGTCCAACAAAACGAAGACACGACGTCTGCACTTTTTTCGCAGTATTTACACTGGTCGTTTTACCTCCAGATTTTGAATCATTTAAAAACGTTACCATCTCCACAAAAGATTCTGTTCTTGTCATCACTTAGCAATCTCTTTCCGTTACCTTCTCAAAACACGATCTCGTATCCGATGTTTAACTATTCGACTAGTTTACCGCAACCATTGGGATATCCCACATCCGGCGACATCCAACAACTCTTATCCTTACCATTAAATTCCCTTCTTCCCCTCTTCGCGGCGGTCTTTAATGAACGGAAGATCATAGTTCAATCATCATCGCCGGAGAAGACTTCCCTATTCATCGCGTGCTTACTCGAAGCGTTTGCGCCGTATGAATGGCAACATCTCCTCATCCCATTTCTTCCCGTTAAGTTAACGGAGCTGACGCAGACTCCGACGCCGTTCATTATTGGTGTTGATCCATCGGTGATGCAATTGATCGACATGTACGACGTCTTTGTCTTTGTCGATATCGACAACGGGACTGTCAAATCAAACGACGCGACAATCATCAATTCCGACCTTCAAATCTTTCCAAAGAAATGGATCACTTCATTGTCAACGGTTTTAACGCCTTTATATTCTACCGTTCCATCAATTTCCTCACAAATCAAATCTCAGATCTTAAAGTCAGCATTCTTAGACTTCATGACTTACTTCACTCAAGATATCGAAGACAGAGTTAAACTTATCGTCCAAGACGGCGGAGATTTCAACTTAAAAGAATTCACTAAAGACTTCTTCATCTTTGGAGAAGGACGAAAATTCATCGAAGTCTTCAGCCGCACCGCTACGTTCGATCAATTCGTCCAAAAGATCGAACGAAAATTAAGGACCCGCGGAATAGCAAAAGTAAAGCGAAAGCCGTCCTTAATGACGTGGCTCAATATCTCGAAGGAGACAAATTTGGTCGACATCTCCACGGCGACCGTCGTCACCCCACAACAAGCAAATCCGCCGGTCTTTACCTTCCTATAAATTTACTATATTTAACTAATAAGTATAGTATTCTTATTACTAGTATTATTATAGTATTACTACTATAAACTTATTGAAAGAGGTGGAAACAAAAGAAATAAATTGATGTGTTTAGTGTTGGGTTCCGTTGAGTGCAAAATTACTCACGACACGCTTCCAGCAGAAAACGCGCGAAGGCTTTATAGTCGACATACCCATCGTTGTCGGGGTGTGCTTCTGCTACACATTCAGTTGCTTCTTCATTACTCAGACACATTCCTTGATCCATCATGATCCCTTTCAGTTCATCTGTAGTTAAATATCCGTCTTGATCTGTGTCAAAGTTATAGAACGCCTCGATGAGGTCCGCAATCTCCTTTTCGTACTACAAGTAAGTATTAATAATGAGAGAGAACTCGGCGGTGACAAGAAAAGTTCGAGAGAAAACAAACGGCCATGTCTGATTTTTAAGTTTTTTTTTTAGTGAAACTCTTGTAAAGTCGTCGAATTTATTTTTAAATGTTTTTGGCCCTTTGACTCGGGACAACTTTGAAGTTCTTCTTTTTTCTAGTTCAGTTGTTGGTAACACTTCTACGACTGGTTCGTTCAGGTGTTTATTTAACACAGTTTTTATTTTTGAATAATTTTATTAACGAGGTATTTTTACTGGTTAGTTTATAGTATATAATAATTAATTTACTGTTTAGACCATATAAAAGAAGCGTTAAATTTCATTGTTCATTATTAATAAAAACTCGTTAAATATATTTACAAGAATAATAAGGTATTGTTTTTAATAGTATAATTTTACTAGTATGTAATTGATACAAAAGTGTAAAAAAACAATGATATAGTAAAAATACTATATCAAGAACTAAAAAAATAATCCGCTTTATTTTTTAAACATTTTTGTTGAATTATAAGTTATAACGGAAATCAAAAAATTCAAATTTTTCAAAAAAAACACAGTTCTAATACCGATAAAACATCGAGTTCAAGCTCGAGTAAACAAAACCACGAAGCCAAAGATTTAATTTTGAGCGAGTGAGAGCTTGAGATGATTTTCTGCGCAATCGACGACAATCATGTAGAGGACTTCGTTAGTGATTACATTTTCATTTTGGTGTTCTTCAAGCCTATTTGCGAAAAACGTTGCATTTTCCGAGTTCTGTTGTTTAATCAAATCGATGAGGACTTCATAGAGGGGTGACTTTTCTATTTCATCTTCCGGCGCGTACATCTTATCGATACCGCCGAAGACTTTTAATAAGACTTGAGCCTTTAATAAACTTGTTGGGAGCTTTTCATAGACTTTTCTTAAAAAGGCCTTAACTAGTGTATAATCGACTGCGCTTTGCATTTTAGCGAATCCTCCCGTCTTAAAGATATTAATTAAAGAGACGGGATAGAGCACACCTCTGACGTCATCAACATCAAATAAAGTATATAGTAAATATACTATATTAATATATTGCGAGATATCTCCAGTACTTTCTTGTATGAAATGAGTCGTTTTCAGACTCTTATAATACTTCATTACAACGTCTGAAGGGACTTCCGCGTCGCACTTCTTTAACTCCGTGATGATCTTTACAGCACTTCCATATAACGACTCGGACAAATAGGACTGCTCATTCGACAATTCCAATCCACTTAAGAAGTCGATGAGAACACACAAATACCTATTTAACACTTCATGTGGTGTAAAATGTAAATTCGCGACAAATCGCGACAAATTCAAGACTACAGTACTCGGCACTTTAGTACTTTGCTTCTTAGATCCACCAACAGTTAAGTTGTCGACCATCCGATGCACCGCATCACAATCGGTTGATTGTCGTGCATTTAAGACGCGAATTACTTGTTCCACAAAGATGTCAAACAAGTCACTTCCGCTTTGGAGATACTCTAAAACAGCAACAAAGAAGACATTCTGCTCAAATAAATACTTCTCACATAATACAACTTCTTTTAAGTCATTCTCATATTCTAAGTACTCTTCACTCTCTTTCATATACTTCTCACTCTTCAGATCCTTCTGCTCTTTCTTCTCAACTCGTTCACTCGGGTTCTTCCCGTTTTCGAGTTTAACTAGTCGAGAACTATAATTTACTATATCAGAATATTCCCCAATGACTTGCTGGATCCCCACTTGTTGCACATCAAATTTCAATTCTTTTCTCTTGGGCTTCTTCTTCCCCTTCATCATCACTTTAGGTGCCTTCCCTTTCCCTTTCGACTTTTTGTCGTCTTGTTCGATGGGAGAGAAACTCTCCTCTTCATACGACAGATGACTTTTGATGTCGAGAATGGGGATCTCGACACTCTCAGAGACTTTGCGATAGAACAATAAATACGCGCTTTTGTTCTTACTCCCAAACCAATCGTTCTCTGCAGCCTCTTTCTTCACTTCTATGACTTGATTGTCATCGATCAGTGTCCACTGATTCCCAGTGCGGACATACGACGTGTAGTGTCCCCCATTACACGTCCCGCTGTGGACTACGACGCCGACAAGCACAACCATTTCGTCTTGTTTTTTTTTGTGACTGTTTTTAAATTGATGAGTTCCGGGAACGTGAAGACCGTGTTAATCTTTTCCTGTTGGAATGTGAGTGTATTAAAGCTGAAACGCTTCAATTGAAAGACCAATGTGTGAGGAATGCGGTGGAGGAAGACTTGTTTCTTGATTTCTCCCTTTTCCCCGACACACTCGACGGTATTCAATAATTTCAAGGAGTCTTCCAATTTATTCAGCCCTCGGATCTCTATAGGAAGAATCACATGTTCTTCTATTCGCTGTTCTTCTTTGACCGCGTTCGGCATTTTAATACAATCTAATATTTCGGTGGTATACATGCCCTTCAACGTCTCATGCAATACACTCGGTGATGTCTCTTCGGAGATCGAATCGATGATCTCTAAAAACATCTCCGCTGCGTCCCGTTGCACTGATGGGTTGATCATTCCATACCTTTCGTTCCGCATCTCATTCACCTCTTTCCGCGGGTCGACCGCGCTCCCTTCTTTCATCATCTTGAGAAAGACCGTTTGGACTGAAGACAAAAACGGGGTCATTCCGTCGCCGTCCGCTAGCAGTAATGTGTTCCTAAATAAGTAATCCGCATACATTTGTTGCATGATCGAGTTCAAATAGCATGTGCTTCCCAAATTCATTAACCCTACTATGTGCGGATTCCCCTCTGAAACATTGTCCATAGTATACAATGGGACCTTGCTATTCGTTGTGTCATTCGTTTTCACCTTTGCCATTGCTTTCTTCAGTTGTTCCGTTGCTTTTCAAGCCAACTTGAACAAAGGTACAAGATTCAATCTCATATATAGTTCTTTTATTATATTTTTATTATTAAATTACTCAAAAAGAAAATTGGTATTCATTTATAGCTTTTTTATTATATTGTGTCGTATTTATGGATATTCAATTGGTGTCGTGGTATTGTAATAGTATTATTCTAATTTTAAATGTTATAATTTTAATTATTACATAGTAACTTCTACTTGCCAATTATTTTGTCGTATACTGTTCAAAACAATAAAAAGCGACATATATAAAATCTTAGGTAAAATAGAGAGTAAAGAGCATACGTTTGACTAAGATATAGAATAGTAACTAAAATTAAACTTGATTTAAACATCGACTGAAGCGACAGCCTTCCTTGTTCTTTTTGCTCTTCTTTGTGTTGGGAGCTGTTGCATCGCGAGGAGTGCAGCCGGGTTGACGTTGACCTGAGCAGCATTTTTTGTGTTTTTGGCTTGTGTTTGTGTTTCTTTCGACACAACGGACGCAGACCGATTTTTCTTGTCGACTCCTTTCTTGACCATTTTCTTGTTCGCAAGAACCTCTTTAATTTTGTCGAGGTCAGTTTGTTCCAAAGGAACGACAATAGACTTTGCTAATGGGAACAATCCAATTTTATTTCCCAATTTCCCTATTGCCCACCCTCTCTTACTCTCCCAATAAACGTCTATCACATCATTACTCTTCACCTGTAACATCTTCTCGTTGTCGGGGAGATAGTCGCTCACCATTTTGACTCGTTTGATAACTGTGAATGTCGTACATTTGTTGATGATTTCATAACAGTGGATATACCCTCGATTGATAGCAGAACTTAACGGACTCATCTTTCGAATATCAACCTCCTCCAAATTCGCTCCTTTTTCTAACAAAAATTGAACACATATGGCATCGTTCATGACTACCGCAACATGAAGAGGTGTACGCCCACACCCATCACGCGCATTTAACTGATTGACATCTCCACTTAACACCTCCTCCAGTAAATGAACCATCCCAAACGCACAACAATAGTGCAACGGCGTCAGTTTGTTTTTATCACCCTTGTAACATTCCTCTCCAACGGTTTTCTTCAACAATTTAACAACGTCCAAATGTCCTCCAAGAACAGCATAGTGCAATCCAGTCCTTCCCGATTTCGTTTTCTCGCTTAATTCTAACCCAAACACTCTCAACACCTCCACAACGTTTTTATTCCCACACAAACACCCAATATGTAATGCACTCTCTCCAACTTCATTCTTCACGTTCATCATTTCGGGGGCGGTCTCATAGATCCACTTAATGATGTCCGCACGGTTGTTTTGCACCGCATAATGGACAGCCGTGTTGCCGCTATTATCAACATCAGTAATCACCGAGGGGTCCGTCTTGAACACCACTTTCGCCATTTCAAGTTGTCCATACGCGCACGCCAACAGAAACGGGGACGTCCCACACATCGATCGCTCATAAAATTCGCTCCCAAGTTCTGTTAAATACCCAAACGACTCTTGCGCTCCACACGCAACAGCCAACATGAGGGGGGTCATCCCATTCGAGTTCTTCTTCACCAGTAACGAAGGTCCTTCCGCCACGAAAAAAAAGTCGAGGACCTTCCTATCATTACTTCTCACCGCACAGTGAAACGGGTAATTCCCGTTCGTGTCCATCTTCCCCAACGCCTTTGGAAATTGGTTTAATATCCTCTGTAACACGTCCACGTCACACCCCACTGCGGCTGCATAGTGCAACGCCAATTGTCCGTAGTTATCCGGCACATTCGCCGACGACACAGGAAGTAGTACATTAATAGTATCTTTATAATTCTTTTTAATAGCTAAGAGTAATGGGCTTTGGCCCATGCAGTTCTCTGCAGTTGGATTCGCCCCCTTTGCAAGTAACCAACTGACTGTTTTTGTACTTCCATTTGCTGCTGCGAAATGCAGCGGTGTCGAGCACGACGGATTTGTTGTGTTCTCGAGCATATCTTCCACGCAGCTATTACTCTCGATGAAGTTATTCAGAAATTCGTCGTTACAATAGGCCGCATAGTGTAAAATAGTATACCCCGAGTTATCGGTGAAGCACATTAATTGCGTTGGGTCGTTGACGGTATTTAAAATGAGGAGCGCGACATCGGGATGGTTGTACCGCAACGCCATTAATATCGCGCTCTGTCCGTGTTGATTGACCAAAGACGTCGATGGGTTGTGCGCTATTAATTTCTTCGCCGCAGCCATATTCCCCTTCATCCCCGCTAACATCAAAGCGGTGTTCCCTAATGTGTCTTGATGATTCACATTGATCTCATAGTCGATTATTAAATTGTCAATAAACTCGACTTTGTTAAAGAATATCGACGTGTGGAGCGGCGTTACTTCGTCGTATGAAGACTTCTCTGTATGGGGAAGATATTTCCTTTGATAGATTGTAGGGTTCAGTCCAACGTCGTATGGCGTTCCGAGTGTCTCCATTAGATTTGAGGTTATACAGATTTACTTTTCAAGTTGCAATCTCAGAATAACATTTTTCTCTTTTCGTTGTGTATTTGTTTTCTTCTTCAAATGGTGTTTGGTACTCAACCATAAAAAAATAAGTAACTATTAAATATAACTTAATTTATTACATTCTATAGTTTTTTTTACCAGGTGGAGTGATTGTTCATTTTCTCGAAAGTTCTTAGATATTCGGACGTGAAATCGTAAAAAATCGGGATTTATCCTATTCTATCTATTTTGAGGTTTTCAAATGAGAACTTGAAATGGTGAGATTACGAAAGTGGAACGACAGACCAGAAAGGCGAGGAAAATGATGAGAAAACAAATGAGATGAGATGTAACAGCTGTTGGAAAGAAGTTGAAAACTCTGAGCTGTACGTCGTGGTGAAGTGCAAACACGTGTTTTGTGAAGAATGCGCACAGAAGGCGTGGATGGGCGGTAACTATAAATGCCCCCTTTGTGGGGTTATGTTGACGGAAGAGTTTGTTTTGTATTTCATACATTGTCGAAGTGACTTGCAGCGATATTTCTCGAAATGATTTCGGTGACGTCGAAACACTTTCTAAGCCACTTTTTGGCGTACCTCAAACAAAGTGTTTGTTTTTGCAATTTGAATTTGTTATTTTGTTCTTGTATTCAGGTGGAATTTTTGTTCCATTGTGTAATGTATAACCGAAAGTAAATGAAATCGTCGAAATGTTGTCAAGCTTTAACAACAAACAGGTCAAACTCAACGAGTTCAAGATCCAGCACGACGCAAAAATGGCTGAGAAAAAAGCAAATGCGAGAATCCAACAAATCATGGCGAAAGCGTTTGAATACAGAAAACAACGAGACAGGTTTAAAGAGGAAGCCAATGAATATAAAGTCCAGGCTGAGCGTCTTGAGTTAGAAAATAAACGATTGAAAAATTTGATTCAAGAATACGAAGAGTTTGTTCAGTGCCTTTTTCCAAAATCAATAAAACTTCACTTTTATTGGGGAGTGAATCACGTACGAAATCCTCACCAACAGCGAAAAAAAACAAACAAAAGAAATGGTCTTTCGACTCCAACAAGAAAATTCTGACAACTCAAATGCGTTTGGGGCATCAAAGTTTTTTGAACCCAAGCAAAACAAACTTCCTTTTATTGAAAAACGTTCTCCAACGGTAATTCTTCCAAAAGAGTCCGAGTGTGTAAGCGACAGTTTGTTTTGCACTTTTGGTTTGAGTTAAACTGATTACCAGAGTTTGCGGTTCTGAAAAAGAATCGAGAGAGCAACAAAAACGTCGAACCAATCAAAAATATCTTTGCGATCAAAAAACCGAAGCCGTCGATTCTGCAGTCTCCAGCTGTGAACCGTCGTGCGCCCATTTTCACTTCGCCGCTGCGGAGTGTTGTAATCCCGTTCACCCCGATCTGAATGAATTTAATTCGTTTTTATTTTCCAGCAAGTTGCCAAAGACAAATTGGTGAACGTTCCAAACCGAGCGTTATTACCCAAAATTGGTTAGTGTATTATAAATAATAGCAAAACAACAATATTTTCTCGGTACAAATGATTTTTTGGGTAGTTCGAAGTGTACATCAACCAAAGCAGACCAATACATGGGAACTCCCGAACACTAGACGGATTTCTGTGTAATACACAAAGAAAACTTCCACGCAGTTGAAACTAAAAATGGCGAGTTATTGGACAAATGGAGTTATTGTAAAACAGTGGAAAACAAAAATTGATCGACGTGCATAAGGATCTTGTTTTGTAAATGAAGCCGTTGAGTAGTTTTGTTCGGTATATCAAACCGCCTCAGGCTACTCACGAGCCGATCCCAGACGTCACGCCATACATCACAAAAGACTTAGCGACGCGGATCATGCTGATCTATCATATATGTAACCCGTCTTTACAGCGCCCTTCCGAAGAAAGTTGTTTGACACAACCATTTATTCCCCTCTCCAATGATGGTCTAGACAACGAAAATCGAGAATTAATAGTTAATAAAGACGATGTGATTGGCACATACAATTCACTTGAAGGATTACGGTTCTCGAAGAACCAGAGTCGGGCGACGCAATATAGAATAGTCGACAAGCTTGGGCATGGCACTTTTGGGCAGGTCTTTCAATGTGTCGAATTATCCACAAAGCGGACTTTTGCGTTGAAAATATTGAAAAACAAGAAGGCGTATTTCAGACAGGGATTACTTGAGATATCGACGTTGACAATTGTTTGTTCTATTTTTGTATTCATTATAAAGTCCGTTGCAACTATTAAAGTTTCTATTCGTCCTTTTTTCATTTCAAATAGCAAGTTTAAAAGTTAATACAAACTACAAATTTACCTTAAGCTCAATTCCATATATGACAAAGACGCAAAGTTCCTTGTGAAGATGACCGACCACTTCTTATATTCCGGGCATTTGTGTATAGTTCAAGAGTTACTTGGGTTTGTTATTTCTATATTTCTGTATTCCAGTGAAGTACATGTACCTTACAAATAGTCCAAATTTGTATCAAGTTATCAAAGAAGCGCGTGTACGTGGGATGAATGTCGATACCATCCGTAACATCACACGACAGATTTTAGAAGGGGTGTCTTTGATGACCGAAGCTGGGATTGTTCATTGTGATTTAAAGCCGGAAAATGTGTTAATAGGACAGAATGGGGCGAAGGTGATTGACTTAGGGAGTGCGTGTTTTCAGAACTATACCTTATATTCGTATATTCAGTCCCGGCATTATCGGGCGCCAGAAATAGCTTTGGGTATGAAATATTCGTGTTCGATAGATATGTGGAGTGTCGGGTGTATAGTTGCTGAAATGTTCTTAGGTATCCCGCTCTTCCCAGCAAACTCCGAGTATGATTTGTTACTCCGTTTTGTTCAAACGCTTGGGATGATTCCCATTAGTATGTTAACTAATGGCCCTAAAGCCAAAAAGTACTTCAAACAACTCATAACCGCCAACGGCAGTGGAAATTATCGAATGAAAGAGCAGTTTGAGTTTGAATGGGAGAATGCGTGTAAGTTACCTGGGCACAAAGATTACTTGCCCGTCAAAAGTCTCCACGACATCATTTTCAAATGTCAACTCCGTGTCGATGGCCCGATGTCGACGCAAACCAAAGACGCTTTATTCGACTTTTTAAAGGGGTGTTTTGTATATGAACCGCAGAATCGGTACACACCAAAACAAGCTTTGACGCATCCTTTTGTCACTGGGACTTCCATGAAGAATTATGTGCTTCCACCGAGGGATTACAAATACTTTGTTTTTGGTCATGTAGTTACTGCAGAGCCCTTAGAGATGATAGCAGACACATATAAAGATGATGAAGTCGCTGACTTAGACTTATCGCGGTCACAGTATTATGCTGTTTTTATGACGTTATTAAAGTGTGGACATATCCCAAACATCACTATAGATGGGATCTTTACTTATGGAAGTATTACTCCGCCTCAACTCGCCTTTGGATTCAAAAAAGGGATGTTTGAAGAAGATGAAGAAGATGACAAAAATGAGAAGACTAAGAAGACCCGGGTGTTACGTTTGAGTGGAACAAATGTAGTTCCAAAACCTCAAACTAATAAAACATTTGTTGAGGAACTCGACCAAATTAAAGAGAAGTCCAAGTCCAAAAGAGCATCCCGTGAAAATTCGGCATTCAAAGTGATTGAGTACAAGCAACACGACTCTCCAGCAAAAGAAGTCCGACAGAACTCGATGAATAATTTGAATGGAAATACTCACGAAGATGGTAAAACACAAAGACTCACACAGTCGACAACTATGACAAAAGATGACGTCGTCTTAGTACCTGTCCTAAAGAAAGCAACAATAACAGAAAAGACAAAAAACACTGTCGTTATACCCAAAGTGCCCAGTTTCTCATTAGAAGCCACAGAGGAAACTACCGACCACAGTGACAAGAAGAAGCGTCGATATTCATGGTCTGAAAAAGTAGGAAATTTCTTTCACAAGAAAGAGAAGACGGAGAAGGACACGACAAAAACAACAAAGCGGAGGAGTGTCGGGTCTCTTGTTGACGAAAAACGACTCGAAGACAATGAAAAAAAAGAAACAGACGTCAAAAAAAAAGACCAGAAAAAAGAAGAGAAGAAAAAGAAAAGGCAGAGTACACCAAGTCTTAAAAAAGATAAGACGCATGAAAGGTGACAAGAATATTGTAATCGTATTACTTTTTGTATCATTTCGTTTATTTATAGTATAATATAGTATATAAAATTATTAATAAAAAAATACTAAAATAATAGTTACTATTTAATTGGAGTCTAGTATATATATAACTATACAATATAGTATATAGTATAGTTATATAAATTGCTTGGGGAGGATGTGGTTTGTGAGTTGTTTGATTTGGTGTTCAATGAGATCGACCGACGAATAATTAGCCGAGTTGAATAGATTTCTCATGAGGGTATAAACGTAGTCTGATAACGATGATTGTGTTCCTTCAAAAACCTTTTGTTTGATTTGCTTTGTTATAGTCTACCATTGAATTAATGAATTAAATATAATAAGAAAATGGTAATATTTAAAATTAGAAATAGAACTTTAACTAAATGTTAAGTTGCGTACCAAAGTATGAAAGTAAAGTTGAATTTATTTAATTTAATTAATAATAATTAAAATATATTTATTAAATAAATAAATAATATATTAATTAAAAAATTAAATAATAAACGACAAACATGATAAGCAGACCTTGTGTTATTAATTTTATCTCTGACTTGTGTTGGTGTCTTCTTCACGTGTAAATCAGAAAACAAATCTTCTGAACACTTTGTGTGAAACATTTTTAATGGGACGTTTTTTCTTTCTTTGAGTTGCCATTTTCTGTATTTAAGAATGACATAAGACGTCGACTCATCATTCCAATCACGAGATACCTTTGAGGGTGTTCCAGATAGTGGTGGCGAACTTGGTGCTGTTTCCACAAATACTTGGTATAAGTTATGAGGGACTGGAGCAAAAGCTGTTTTATAAACCGCCATTAATAAAAATTTCTTTTTTAGTTTTTCATTTCCAAAAGATTTTTGGTATTTTGGGGCTCCTTTTTCGAAAGATGTCAAACAATCGATTTTTTATTTTTGCAAAACAATTTCAGTGGTTCTTTTTTTTCTTACTGCTTTTTTTTTCTTTGCATTTTACTTGACAATTGCTGTTTTATTTTATTGGCGGTAAAAAAAAGCGAAAAATGGCATTGTCGTTTCTTTTTTGTTTATTTTTAAAATGCAATTATTATTTAATTCTAAATTAGTTTTTTTTCTTATAATATTTTATACAATATTATATGATTAATTTTTCATTTTTTTAAAACAACCAATTTGAAATTTTATCGAGAATTAATAATTTGTTATTATTTATTATACTATTAATTACAAATGTTCAAAATGAACAATTTAAAAGTTTTTTTTAATTTTTAAAAATTTGTGTCAATTATTATTTATTTTTTATTAATATATAATTCAACTTACTTTTTTTCAATATTAATAATTAATGGTAAATTACTAATAATTATTTTTTATTTTAAACCAAAACTTGTTTTTCTTCATTTTATTTAAAAATTGAAAAATGTTTTAATAATAATTATATTTGTTTTTTTAAGAAAAATATTAAAATTTATTGTTACTTTATTAATTAAGTATTGTATTTTTCCAAGCATAAATATAACAATATAACAAAAATAATTGAACATTTTTTAAAGTGTTATAAATTAATTATAGTTTTTATTTAAATTACGATATTTTTATATTTTACAATAAAAAATTGTTTTAAGGCAAAGTTATTTCATTAAGACAGTTTATTTTTTTGAAGATATTTTTACTAATACAATTGGTTAATTCAAACCAAAACAATATTTATACATCAACAGTTATTTTTTACCTTAACCAAGAATGTTTTATTTTGTATCGAATTAATATAGTTATTACTAATTTATAATAACAAAACCAAACAATAAAACCGTTTTTTGAATTGGTCTGGCTTCACAAACAAAAAAAACAAATTGTTTAGGGAGGTCCCGAAATAGAAAAAAACGTTTTTTGAATTGAAAATTTCTTCGAAACTTCCAACTTTATCCGTTTTTATAAATTGTTTAACTTGACACAAAAAAGGTTTTTCTTTTTATGGACAAAAGACAAAAGTTATTTATCAGACTTTGTTGTGTTGGTTGTTATACAACACATGGTATTAATAAAAAATTATTTTGATAAATAGACAACAATTCGCAATTTTCTTGATATTGTTTGGAATACATCACTAAGCAAATATCCATAATAATCCCACGGATTCCCAAGTAGACAACCAAACACAACTTCAATGCAAAGTATCCATTCCAACTATTTTACAAGAAACCCAATTATTATTTCAAAACATTTAAAGGACATTTGTAAATTAATGGAATCAAAAATGATGTTATCTTCATATTTCGACTCTGTATAAATAAAATTCGTGTTTATGGAATTGGGATTTTATAATCTTTTCAAATTTAGTCTGCAATTAGCTTGTCGATATTAATATTGTTCAGTGGAAATCTTATACAAAAAATGATTTTTTTTTCAATTACTTTTAGGAGTCTCTGGTGTGTTTTCATTTTACCAGTTTACCAGACTTGGCCAGTGAATTGAAGTTTTGTGTTGTCTGGTTTTGTACTTTTTTCCGTAGTTGTTCGATTCAGTTAGTATTCGAAACACACTTATTACATATGATTCATTTTTCAAAAAAGTGTTTATTGGTTCAAATAAAGCAAAAAAACAAGATGTTGGTGAAAATAGTTCGAACACGCCAATACAATGAAATAAACAAATCAATCCATTTTCTTTGTCAATGAAATCTTGGGCAACTGACCTCTCTCGTCCCGAGTCTCTGGCCCAAGATCGTATTTTGAGATTGGGTGGAAACGCCATGTTTTCCATGATACTTTCAAAACAATTATCTCGACTTGAAATTTCCTCGTCTTTGATAAAAAACATAACCATTTTCAAATACCCATGCCATATTTAGCAAAAAAAACCAAGTTATTCGTCCAACACCCGCAACTTGCTTCACATTGTCCCAATACACCGGGCATTTCGCAGTTCCAATTTTTGTTGTTCGGCAAATCAAACCAAGCGTGCACACGCGTCGAATTTGCTTTCCCCTTTCGAGCAACACGGTAATCCACGGGCTGATTGCCCAGCAAAAAGCAAATTATATTCAAATCACAAATGCATTTGAAATTTCGGCCAGCAAACATCGTTTTCGAGCCATTTTCCCGTTTTAGGCTGGTTTCAAAACGGCGGGGTTGCATAATTACTTTGAGCGTTATCGAAAAAAACATACGACAGTTTGAGAAAAATTGGGGTCCGCGTGGTGCTCTTGCTCCAATATTTGTTAAAACAAGCACCACATGTAACGGACGTTTTTTGCACAAGAGAAAAAGACTGAGCCCCAATTGTTCTCAGTCACGAATGGGTGTTTTCTTTTGGTTGAATATGACATTATGCGTGCTATGCCGTGCTTCTTTGAGGGAACCATCTTTTGCTTGTTATTGCAGCAAGTTTGAGGGAATGTTATCGCGACAAAAAGAGTTAAGGCAATTGGGGCGTGTGGGATTCGACGTCTCAAAGGGGGTCTGTTTGATGGAAATTCATCAAAAACATCAAAAATAAAAACCGACTTACAACTTTTCATTTTTGGCCAAAATCCCGGTCTGGTCGCGGTGTTGTGCGCATGTAAAACCATAAAAATAGAGTTAAATCAACGTTTTTAAAAAGAATACTATTTTGGTTTTCAACCATATTTTCACATCTTTTGCTGGTCAACTTTGTTTTTTTCACAGCATTTTCTGTTTGCAAAAAGACCAAAGAGCGATATTGCCGTCAGCGATTTTGAACGAACTTTTGGAGATCAATTCCGGCGTCTTTCTTTGTGTATTCGGGAAACTCCCACGAGTCATCCACCAACAATCACTTCGGACAAAAAATATGTTTGCCATGAAATGAACGAACGGGGTCATGACCGTTTTGGTCAAATTACAAAAAAATCTTCTGTGATTCGACGAAGTCTTTTGGCAAAAAAACGCCGAGTTTGCTTTGGGCCGTAAGTGAACGAAAGCAATAAGCAAGTTTTTAAGACACTTCAACCACCCCAAAACAGAGGGGAAAAATAAAGATTAGAATTGTTGTTACTTAAAATAAACACACTGTATTTATACAACCCAAATCTGTTATATCACACAATGCAATCAACTTACTTCCGCCCAGTCGCTTTTACCCATTTCAAACTCGTCCAAACGCAATTCCCACCAGTCGACTGCGTCCCACTGTCGATCCAAGGGTCATACCAATACTCCGACAACTACGTCATGCAATCGCCAAGACTCAGGTTCGACCAAAGCAACACACACTTCGAACCAGAAAGACTCTATCTCACCGCTGACAACATCAGAGCGTCTGAGATCTTCCAGCTCTCGGAACAGGACAAGATCAACCACGTCGCCGACTGGATTCACGCCAGCCCATCGACCGCAGAGTATCCCCACCCGTCCACTCTCTAAGAGTCATCAAATAGCCTTGTATTATTTGTAATCTATTACATTCGTTCAATTCCTTTTATGTTGCATGTTGTTAAATGTCGACAAATCCATCACTCATATTCGCCTTTTATTCAATGGAACTAATTCATCGCTTTATTGTATGACGATTTTTATTGTCTCAACGTCGGGAAATAGTTAACATGTTGAGCATGACATGCAAAATAACACAAAAGGCGATTTGGAATTGCACCAGTTATTCCTTACTAGCATTTTATTCGCACTAAAGCCTTGCAAACGTTCGTTGCTTTTTGAGGAAAAAGTCGGGGTTTAATATGTAAAAAAACTGTTTATTTGTGAAGAAATTTGATAACAAACACCTTAACATCAAATAATTGTCCTAATTCGGCAAAACCTCCAAATTGTTTTACTTTCAATGGTTTTTCTTGGCTGAAAGTGACAACAAAACAGCAAACAAAAAATCTTCTGACAATTGGTTGAATCAAAAACAAAGTGCTAATTTTTTGCAATAAACACCCCGCAGAACATTCCCTTCCCAAAAATTGCTCCACCAAAAACATCTTGGCAAGAAGAACAATCCAAAAATAGTTAAAAGTGTTTCTCAATTGTCGATGAAATTGGTTAAAAACAACAAATTGTGCTACATATTATAGTCTTGTGCACAAAGCCCCGATAAAATGCACGCAACCCTGTTAATTAAATATAATATGAAAAGAAATGTATAAAACATTATTGTGACATCCACGTCATGTGTTGCCTGTTATTCTCTACAAGTAAAAACAAAACTTGTTATTCGAAAAAATCAGCGAATGGATTTTGTCTTGAAAATCAAAAATGTTACAAACTCCAATTATGTCGCGGCGTTTTTGACATTCATTAACTTTTCGACTCAATTTCTCTCCATTTTCCCACAAACCCATCGCCATTACAAAAAATATTCTCGTGATTATTTACAACACTTTCACCCAAACAATCAAAACAAATACAATTCGATCCATATGCGATGATTTGTTGTTCATTAATACTATACACTCTAGTATAAGTTCTATATTTTAATAGCATTTACACCAATGTGAATCCATGCACTTAATTTCCTTGAAACAACTGTTCTTCAGCCAAAAATACCCAATTCGCTCTTTGCAACTGAAACTCTTAAAAATTTGTTGAATGAAAATTCGCAGAACAAAAGGCGTTGTCAAGGTAATAACAATTTTAATACCATTTTTAATACCATTTTTTAAATAACAAAATCGAATAACAAAAAAATTAGTCCTTCACAATACTTGTTGCGACATTTGTCCTCGACTCTGGAGAGTCGCTTTCGAGCAAAAGCGCGTACTTGATGTCTAAGTTCCATCCCTCGACTGTCTTCAGAATATCTGTGAATGTTGGTCGTGTCTCGGGGTCTTGGTCCCAGCACGACGTGGTGAGTTCCCAGAACTGGTCGTTCATCTTGTCTGGTCGTTCGAGTCTTTTTCCGGAGGACACAAATTGTGGGATCTTCCAGGGTTGGTCGAACACCTTTTCGTCCGTGTAAGCGCCTCCTTCGATGAATGTTTCATACATAGTAATTCCAAAGGCATACACGTCAACGGGGTAACTATATTTCTGGTTGCTCAAACATTCTGGACTCATGTATGTCTATAATGTTATATTCTCTCCCCATAATTATCAACTAATAGTTTTGTTTATTATACATATAGTAATAAATATATAGTAATAAATATATAGTAATAAATATATAGTTATGTAACTATAATTATAAATCTATAAATTTATAGAACAAACGGGTGTTCCAATTCCTTGAGTCAGGTCTTTATTCAAAACACTTCTGTCTGAAATGTTTCGACAAGTCCCGAAATCAGTGAGTTTTCCACAAACAGCGGAATGTGGGTTTAGTGAAAAGATGAGGACATTTTCACCCTTCACGTCTCGGTGGATGATTTGGTTGTTATGCAAGAATTGTAAAGCGACTGCTAAGTCATCTAATACCTTCACTTTAAGATCATACGAAACTGCATTCTTCGCCCATATTTTACTCAACGCACCATACTCAGCAAATTCAGACACAATAGATATCTCCCCCTCAGTATACACCGCACCTATGAACTCAACTACACATTGATGGCGCAACTGCTTCAACATCGAGACTTCATGATTGAACTCCTTCTCTTGCTCCTCCGTCATGTTCCGCGACTTCATCTTCTTAATAGCAACATCACGCCCTCTATACGTCCCTCGAAAAACTATACCAAAGCCACCCTCCCCTATTGGAGGAAGTTGTTGGATCAACTCGGTGTGGTCCAACTTCAGCGACAAATCACTTTCAATGAGCAACGAGACTTTGGCAGTCTCCTTGTTTTGTCCTTCGATGTCCATTGCGATGATCCCGATGTCGTCACTCACGGCAGACGTACACAACATTTTAATACGAAATTCTATAGTGATCGCCTCATTCGATTTCAGGGTGTATCGTGGCGGTTCGATATCGAGGGAATATCTATGTGAAGGTGTTGCAAGGACCTCGAAGAAGTACGTCTTCTTCGTTATATTAGCGATTTGAATCGTCTCCGTATAACTCTCATCGACAACCGCCTTTGTCTTGTCAAGGCCAAAATTCAACTCCCACGTCTTCATCTTCAATGGGAAGTTCTTATTATCCGCAGCCAACAATGAAAGCTCCAAGTCGTTCGTCACTTTGAACGGCTTAGCGTTCTTCCCGGAGCTCTTTTGTCGCATAATTCGCCACGAGATGAGTGCGACAAAGATCACCAACAACAGTAACACGACAAACCCTACTACAATACTAATTGAAATGATTAAGGTGTTGTTATCTTTGTTACAACTGTCTTGGTCAGGTTTATAACCATCTTCACACTCCGCACATCCATCTTTGTTACACTTTAAACAATGGGAGATCTTTGAACAACTCACACACGACGAATCCTTCACATAATACGACTCATTCATACATGTCTTACACTGCTCACTCCCTATATCAGCATTGTACGTACACTCCTTACAGAGTAAATTCGGGTCACATGCAGTGCAATTGATTTGTGAACTGTTCTGCGCAAAGAACCCCGGCTTACACTTCCCGGCACATCCCGTCGGGGTCGCGTCACACGTCATGTTAATTTCACTATACGGCGAACACAAATTGCCTTCAGAGCCTCGGTAGTACTCATACGCACACGACAAACACGCCGTTTCAGACTCACAACTCGCACAACTTGTATTGCACTTAATACACTGCATCCCAAGGCCTATAAAGTACGACTCCGCACATTGTGTGCAGAACCCCATCGATGAGTTCTTACATGAGTCGCCCTGTTTCTCGCATGTATAGTACTTATTGTTCACATCGGGTGTTAATAAGTATCCTGGGAGACAAGCCGTGCAGTGTCCCTTTTCACCTTCACAGAGCGAACAATTCTCGTTGCAGAGGATACACTCTTTTGTTGTGGAATCGACAAAATAGCCCGTGGAGATTAACACGTTGTTACACTCTTTACACCCACTTTGGTCGTATTTCTTACAATTTGGATCAACTGGTATACACGTGCCATTGGAGAAGTAATATTTGGTGTTACAAGTCAAGCAATTCGTCTTGGTAGTGATACATGTCCCACATATCTCGTCGCAATGTGTACACAACATTTGAGAGTCTAAGTAGTATCCATCAACACATCTCTGACATCCATACGTCTCACTTCCATCTTTGCAACGGAGTTCATCAGCTGTTTTACAGACTCCTTCATTAGTAAGAATGGTATTTGGTTTACACCTCCTACACTTTTCATTGTTTAATGTGGTCAAGTAGCACTCAGAACAGTTTTGTGTGGTGCATAGAACGCAATGCCCCATCTCAAGACGATACCCCGACTTGCACTTCTCGCAATGGTCCGGCTTGATATAGTTTTGGTCGCAATTTTCGATGAGGAGGCAGTTATATGTGCCATTCAAATAGTACTTATTTGTGCACTGGAAACAGTTGTCGCTTCCCGTGCACATCGCGCAGTTGTCGGAACATCCTTTGCACTTCTTTTCTTCCATAGAAAAGTACTTCGCATTGTCGCATTGTCCGCACTGACTCGCGTTGGTCCCGGTACATTGTGTGCAATACTTTTGATCAATCGATAAGTAGTACGACGCACTGCACTTGAAGCAGTACCTTTGATCACACAACAAGCAGTTCGATGGACACTCAAGACAATTGTTGTTATTCAAGTAATATCGATCTGCACACTTCTTACACACGCCGCTCTCTTCAGTCTCGCAGTGGGCAGTACTGTTCGACGGAGAGCAATTAATGAGTGGTACACCACCATTCGGGTTGTTAACCACTGAGAGGGAATATCCCTGCTCGCATTCTATGCATCTCCCCGTCGTAAATTCATTAACACAATTTTCGACTGTTCCTTGAGTTTCAATACTAAAAATTACTAATAGAAAGACAAGCACCATTCTTCTTCAACTCTTTATGTTTTCAAAAGTATTTTTTTTCGTCGTTTTTTCTGTGTTTCGCCTTGTCGAGAATTCGTTTTCTATGTACCATAAAAGTGTCATATTTATACTATACTATATCTATATCTCATCGGTCTGTTTTTCATATTATTTTTTTCGATAGTTTTCGATGAAAACGACTGTAATATGTCGGGAAAATAGTCGAGAATTTTTTGTGGAATTTTCTCAAATTCCAAAAGTGTTCAATTCCAAAAAAAGACGGAGATTCAAAATGAATAAATCGTTCACTGTGAACTTCACATCACCAATTATTTTAGTGTTTTTCGTAGTATTAATTATAATCGGAGTGAACGATAATAAAATTTTTGTATACTATCGTTTATTAACATAATTACTATTAAAAACCATTAAAAATTATTCAAATAAAAGCCATTCAATTCACTTATTCAATCACTGGGGAAGTGATTTTGAGTGTTGGTTTGAGTTGGAACTCATTGCTTTTGTCGATGCTGAGTACGCCGTGGATTTTGTCGAAGACCGAAATTTTCATCCTTCCGTTGTGAACGGCGTTTTGTTTGTCGTTGATTTGGAACCCGAGTTTTGGATCCAAGAAAACGATGACGTCCAACCCACATGTCGGGACATTCACAACAATTCCATTCCCCTTCACTCTGACCACATACCCATCAACTTCAACTTCTTTATCTTTATAGAAGATGAGTGTGTACATTTGAATGGACTCACGACCAGCATGTTGTGCCATTGTATGTCTGTAATTGATGTTGTCCGCAATCTCCTTCACACTTTCCTTTGTAATTGTCAACTCAATTCGATCAAACCCTATCGCCATAGCCAAGAACCGATGAACAAGAACATCGGCATATCGACGAATAGGTGAAGTGAAGTGGGTGTAGATGTCACACGCCAACCCATAATGTCGATACTCGTTCATCGGGAAATACCCACTTGAAAAGTACTTCGCTTGTTGCATACACCGCGTCACTAATATCCTCATGATCTTCCCAACCACTGGATCTTTGCTTGACTCACAATTCGCCAACGAATCGGAGAGTGCTTTGGACGACGAGAAGTCGAGCTTTTGTCCTCTTGTCTTCATAACATTCGATAACCATTCAAACGCGTGTTCGTCGGGTGGCGGATGTCTTCTTAAAAGCGCGCATTGTGGGAATGCGTCATAGATCTTCTTCGCAACCCAAACGTTCGCCAACAACATGTACTCCTCTACCATCGAGTTCGTCTCATACGTCTGATACTCTTTCACACCAACGGGATTGTACTTCTCGTCTTTCTCAATACTAATTTCACTCGACGCAAGTACAAGCGCACCAGCTTCAAGCCGTTTCTGTTTCAACTTCTTTGATATCATCAACAACGCGCGGAGCTCTTTGGCTCTGTCGCTTTGGTCTTCCTTGTTATCGATCACTCCCTGCGCCACTCCATACGCAAACGCTTTATAGCTGTTCACTATCCCTTTGGTGTATTCACAATTGATGATTTCACCGTTCGCATCAACTTCCCACACCACTGAAAATGTCAATGTGTCGGTCTTCTCAGTAATCGAACACACAATTTCCGTTAACGGCTTCGGTAACATATCAATTCTCCTGTCCGCAAGATACACAGTCGTTCCACGTTTCCTCGCCTCCTCGTCCATCGTTGTATTTGGTTTCAAAAAGCACGAGACGTCTGCAATGTGGACACCAATTTCAAAGTGGCCATTCGGCAGGAGTTTGCAGTGCAACGCATCATCAATATCCTTACATCCTGGTGGATCAATCGAGCACACGTTACATCGTCTGAAATCTCTTCTCCCTTTCAAATATTCGTCTGTAATTTCAAACGGAAGTTTTGGTAGACACCTTAACACCGTTTCTGGAAATTCGTAGTGGGGGATGTCGTGAAGTTCCAATATCGCTTCAGTCTCACTGGCTCGATCTCCAACGTTTCCTAACGTTGCCACATAATGTCCCGTTGGATAGCGTGAAGTTGTGTCCCATTGATCAATCACTGCAAGAAGTCGTTGTGATGCCAAACGAGCAGGGTCTCTTGCTTTAATACGAATGGGTGGGTAACTCTTGTTCGTCGGTAAGAAGAGCAAGTTCGTCGAATAATTCCCTCCAATTTCCTTCTTGATATAACCAGGGACGGGCTTCCAGTTCCTCTTCAAGACACCAACAACCTTTCCAGTCGGATTCCCTTCTGTTTCCATTGCGTTTTGATCGGTTGTGGGGGTGTGTTCCTCGACGTCTTGTGTCACATCGACAACAGAGTTCTTATCTTTCGCTTCGCCTTCTGTTTCTTGTGCTACTGATATCACAGCCGACTCTTTCTTCCATTGACTTCGTGGGTATAATTCGATTACGGCAACATCCCCTTCGACCACTCTATTCATATCGTCAATACCACTGATCAATATCTCTTCCTTTTGTAATGTGTATACAGTCGCCTCTTTATAGTTCAAGCGGTTCATTCTCACAGTCCCTTGGAAGTACTTCTTCTCCGAAATCCCCTTCAAAAGGACTTCTTGTGGTAAATAGGGTTTGAAGAGGACGGTATTTCCTGTTTCAACGTGTTGTATAATTCTGTCGTGGAGGAGTGTGTCATCCTTGTAGTACATATCCACGTACTCGGTAAACGTCATCGTGTTGACGCCATTGGCGATGAAGTCTGCTTTCCTCTCCGCGGTGTTTGTGACTAAGACTACGGAGCATCCATTCACCGAATAATGAGTATTCAACCACTTAACGGCAGCGACATACGCACGCGCGTCTCTGTGGAGGATCGATTCTTCAGTGTGCGACATCACATACGTCTCTCTGAAAAATTCGTTGAGGAAAAGGAAGACCGACTTCTCGTCGTTGTCGATCATTTGTCGTATTTTCTTATAAATCTGTTTGGAAGTGTTAGAGACGTAGTTGAGCGCTGTTTGCAAGATGATGAAATCAGTCAAACTGTCCGTCTGAAGGGCATCGGACTGCTGTAATAAGACACTATGATCAAAGATAGCATACACCGACTTTCCAATCAATCGCATGTTCTCTTGGCGACATGTGGAGCACTTCCGAAGACCACATGAGATGTCGTCACGAATGTAGTGTTGACGGACGACTTTCTCACAACGATCTTTACTCTTCACAATATACCGGACTTCATTCACACACTCCATTAGTTTTCTTTTTAAAGTTTTACTATTCTTTTTTTTTGTCTCATCATTTCTTTTGAGGGTTGTTTTATAACTATTTCACTTGTAGATGGTTTTCTTTTTTGTAATATACAATACATTTCTAATTATTTATTAGAATTTATTGGTTTGTCATTTTTTTATGTGACGGAACGATGAAAATGGTTCAAATACTTTTTTTTAAGATAAAAAAAAGTTTGAAGTTTGAATATTATTGGTTTGAAAATAGCTGAATAACATTTGTTTTATTATAACAAAAAGTTTTTACATATTAGAAAAAAAAACTTAAAAGGAATTAATACATTTAATAATAATTTTTTAATAAATAACTTATTAATTAACAATATTTTTTTATATAAATTATTTCCAAAAAAAATAAAATGTTGACAAAAATATAATAATAAAACTATATAATTAATTACTAATTGAAAAAGTGAGAATTGTATGTAAGATACCAAAAATGTTTTTCTTTTAAAAAAAGAAAAACTATTAATAACAATTACTATTAATAATAGATCATTAACCATATAATTATAGTTTCTCAAAAATAAAAATAGAAAATAGGATCCACGTCATGCGGAATGGTATGTTGTCTTTACGTGTGCACAAATCGATATAAAAGGAACAAAGAAAACTCTATTATTTAAATGATAACGACAATAAGAAAGAGGATGCCAGAAGATTTTGAAGCGCGCGAGTATATTCCACCAAAGACATCGACGAGATATTTCTTTGGGATCTGTCCCACTCTTCGAGCCCCAAGTGCTCTTCAACCAACAACAGAAAAAAGACTTATAGTGTTTCCAAAAGAGAGAATAGATACCACGATGACTCCAATGGAGACGTGTAGTATTGGGAAGCCAAAGGTTATGAAACAGTTCAAACATATTGGTGTGGTTAACTCGCCGTTTGTCGATCGAGTCTTTTGGAAAGCACCGTCTCAGGAACTTGTGGTCTATACAAAGCCATCTGAGGTCATAGAAGATTTCATGAGGAGAAATGACCCGAAGCGGATGGAGCTGTGTGATTGATTGTTTGTGTTCTTCCTCTTCGAACTCATTTATTCAAATAACATTTCCTCAATGAACACCCCACCGTCATCACAAAGGTATTCGCAACAACCGCAAGTCGAGGTGTCGGACTATTTACTTCAATTTTACTCCTTAAAGCCACCTCGAGCACTGGAATCGACTTTTCAAGACCACGAGAAGATGAAACGGCAGTTTAATACATTGATTGATAGAAGAGAGGATGATCTCTTCAAAATAGCTGAAGAATTAGCCAAATAGAGTTTTTTCTTTTCTTTGTTGTTCATTTGGTGGTACTTTTTTTAATGAATTTAATTGTTAACAGAGAAAAGTGAACTTTCTTTTGACACCCTCTTGCAACTCAAAAGAATTTTTTGTCCATTTTTGTATATTAATTTCGGCATTTATGACCATGAGATACCTCTAGTAGGGTTGTGAAGTTTCCATAATCGGTGGTCACCGAAGAAAATAACACCTTTATACTATAAGATATAAGAAGACAGAAGTCAAATAGTCTTTGAATAGAACACAAATTGCTATTTATTACCATTCTACGGTTTTTCATCGCAGAAAAGTGTGAACAAAACAACACAAATAAATTTTAGATAAGAAAAGAGTAATTGTGACGAATTTTGTGTTTCTTCTGAAAGTTGGAGTCTTCAAACAAACTAAAAAAAAGAAGCGAATGAATAACATTATGAATGAATTGTTTAATAATGTTGAGCAAGTCATAACAACGATGTCGAAAAACAAAACAATGAACGTTGTAATATTCAGTATGATGTGTTCAGGAGTAATATCACTCATCTGTTTCTTTTCAGCATTTTTCTTCGACCAAGTCTTGCTCTATGCCGTCTCTGTACTTTCATGTCTTACATTCTGTGTGTTTCTAAGTACTTATATGATTCTTCGAAATTACAAATCCAGACCACATGGCTGTGATGAAGAATACAGAGAAGCTCAATTAAGTCCTTTAGTCAATTTAACTCATTTAGATGAGGACAGAACATCAGACTTTAAAGTACAAAAGAGTCCATCGCCTGTAAGAGTATTAATGGAGAGTACTACTCTGATGGAAGACTTCAAAGTGCACATTCAGAGTGATGACAAGGAAGAAATTCAACTTGAAGATGGTGATCAGACTCAAATAGAAGCAGAGGAAGAGACTGAAAACAAAGTCAAAGACTCTTCTTTGACAGATCAACACATTTTGGCTTTGAGTAGTGATATTGAAAACAACACCCCAAGAGATAATACCAAATTAGAAGAAGACAAAATACTTGAAGAAAATGGTATAACACAAGAAGGGAAAGTCCTGAAAGGCAGTGAAGAGTCCGTTGACTCTAAAGAAGTCGCAAAAGAGTCAACACCACTTCCAAGTCCAGACGAGAAGTTAACGCCCGAGTTAGAAACTGTTTTTATAGAGAAGAAAACGTGTCACAAAATTGATCAAATAACACTAAATGACACAACACATAAGAACAACGTTCAAATAATCACTGATGATATCAAAGATGAGCAACTCATTAAAACAGCTCATAGAAAGGTATTAAGAAAGTTCCGCACAGCGGGAACTAAAACTCTGAAACAGATCCAAAACAGTCTTAATGCCAAGACGGAGACTGAAGAGACTGTAACACCACTCGAAATATCCCCAAAGAACAACTTAAATGAAAATATGAAAGCCGGTGTATCTATTGATGAGATCTTCAAGCAGCGAGAGAAGTTTGTAGCGCGACGAGTTGAGAACGAGGCGAACAATGTTGAGACTGAGTCGGTGCAAGAGGTCAATCCCATCAATTTGAAACGGCTGTTCCAAGTGAAAGGGCAGCGCCGTCCATATGTGAAGCAAGTTGAGTGTAGTTTGAAGTCATTGAACTCTGGCGATGCGTTTGTGCTTGATCCGGGAAAGAACAGTGGAGTGATATACCAGTGGAATGGGAAGAAATGCAATCGAATGGAAAAAGGTAAAGCGATGGATGTAGCCAAACGGATTAAAGACAAAGAGCGTGTTGGAAGCAAACAAGTTGTTGTGGACGAAGGCAAAGAAACTGAGCAATTCTGGACGGCACTTGGTGAACAAGGGGAAGTCAAACTCGATGATGGTGTTGTAGATACTGTTGTAGAAGTGTCGTACGCACAGAGCGTGTCATTGTTATGGGTGAAGTATGATGTGATGGGTGACTCCGTAACAATGGACAAAGTGGTTGATGCTAGGAATCGACTGACAAAGAGTCTTCTGGAGATGACGCAGTGTTACATTTTAGACACCGAGACGGAGATGTTTCTCTGGCTAGGGAACAAGTGTTCGTTAAAGATTCGACAGAAGATCACGAAGTATGTAGAGGGGATGTATAATGAGCGAAAGAGCATGCAGTGGATGGCGCCATTATACAAGGAGTATCCTGGTGGTGAGAGTGTGATGTTTAAAGAGCGGTTCAGTGATTGGGCGAGTGTTCCGATAGGTGGGAAGGTGGACATATCGAGTGGGAAAGGAATTGAATATAAAAAGGGAGTTGGGATGCAGAATGGTGTAGATTATGACAAGATGATGCTACCTCCTACAGAGAAGAAGGAGGTCTTCATAGACGATGGGAATGGGAATGTTGATGTGTATCGCATCAATGGGTTCAACAAGGAGAAGGTAGAGCAGAGCGACAATGGGCGGATGTACAGTGGAGAGAGTTACATTGTGGTGTACACGTACAAAGTGTGGGCAAAGGATATGGTGCTGCTGTACTTCTGGCAAGGGCGGACGTGTGCTGTTCTTGACAAAGGAACGTGTGCAAGACTGACAGTTGATCTCCACAAGACGATTGAGTCCGAAACAAAAGAAATTCGTGTTGTACAGAACATGGAGACGCGGCACTTCATGACGATGTTCAATGGGCGACTTGTTGTAGAGAGTGGGAAGTACACGACTGAGACAGCAAATGTTGTGATGTATGACATCCGTGGTCGTGAAGAGCCATACATCAAGGCAGTCCAAGTGAGTGTGTCACCAAACAAATTGTCGTCGTATGGCGTATTCCTTGTGTTGACCACAGACACTGCATTCATCTGGAAGGGTCGCCTTCGCAACGAGAAGTACGTTGAATACGCACACAATGTCGGAACACACCACACAAGTCTTGCACGTGAACACGTTATCGAGATAGAAGAAGGCAGTGAGACAGACGACTTTGTGAAGGCAATTGGAGGAAAGTCGACTGTGGCGCAGCCGACCGCAATGTACAATGACCGGCTGTACCAGTTCACAACATCAAGTGGTGAGCTGCGCTGTGAAGAGCACGTCAGATACTCCCAAGACCACTTCAACTCAAACGACGCAATTCTGCTTGACACGGTTGATGTGTTGTACATCTGGGTTGGAAGCAAATGTGCAGTCCAGACACGAAAACTTGCACTGAGTGCGGCGCTTGAATATGTCAAGAAGGGGAAGAGTGAGGAGTTGCGAAAGCGACCAGTCAAGTTGGTCAGTCAAGACAGTGAGCCATACGTGTTCACAACACATTTCCATGGGTGGCAAGAAGGTGCAAAGCAGAAGTGTAGTGTCAACGACAACACACTCGATGCCGTCGACGAGTACAAGAAGTACTTCATCAAGTACTCGTACGACGACCTTGTCAACAAGAAGTTCCAAAAAGGCATCGACGAACAATCACTCGAGACTTACCTTTCAGACGAAGAATTCCAAACGGTATTTGGAATGACACCAGAGGCCTTCCAAGCTCTCCCAACGTGGAAAAGTGATGATTTGAAAAAGAAATTGCAATTGTACTAATTAACTTCGTGTTGTCGAAACTTTTTGAATAAGTTGAAAACTTTTTATTAAAACAAATTAAAAATTCGAAGAGTTTTTTTAAATAGTATATCGGCAATTCTTTTGCAATACACACATATAAAAGGGAGTTTTCCACGAACTCCCACCTTTTTAATTCCGATAAAATCACTGAATTCCTCACCAAGTAAAGCAGTTCATAAACTTGAAAATGTAAACCATGTCATCTGGACTTTCTGATCACTTCAAAGTGTATATCTTTGCCGATAAAGTTGTTATCTCAGCGGACAGTTCCTTTGAGATAGCAAGTAAGAAAAGCGTTGTTCTTAGTAAAGTCACACAAGACATTACATTTGAAGAGGTGACGATTCTTAACACCCCTGAAAGAGTCATTGAGGCCGACGGCATCATTGGAATCCACCGAATAGATTCCGTCGATTACCTTATTCTCATTACACAGAAGACTTTAATCACTAAAGTCCTCTCCCACAAACTCTTTAAAGTCGAGAAGTACGAGATCGTCCCAATCACTGAGCACACCGTCGAGGCAGACACTTTGCATCACCACAAAGTGATCGACCAAACTCTCTCCCTTCCGGGATTCTTCTTCAGTTACACGTATGACTTGACCCGTTCATTCTACGAACAACCAAAGGACAACAACTTGGTGTATTCCAATTGCGAAGAAAGGTACCTTTGGAATGCAAATTTAGTCAAGAGATTCCCCAATGATGATATAGTTAATAAGTACTATAAATTACCATTAATCTGTGGGTTTGTTGGTAAAGCTGAAAGTGCTGTTGAGCCCGACGTCGTCTCTAATGTCGTAATCAAAAAGGTGGAGCTTGTTTTGATCAGCAGAAGATCCAATAAACACGTTGGAAGACGATTTTACACAAGAGGTGTTGATGAGAACGGGAACTGTGCTAATCACGTTGAAACAGAGCAGCTCGTCATAGTCGGCGATAACATTTGCAGTTATGTTCAGTTACGAGGAAGTGTGCCGGTACGCTGGTCACAAGTCCCCAATTTCAAGTACAAACCCAAAATTGCGATATGCAAAGATGAGACGGAGAATGTCGAAGGGATGCGGAAGCACTTTGAAGAAGTATTAAAGAGATATGACACTGTAAAAGCGGTGTCGTTAGTGGACCAGAAAGGGTCTGAGCTTCGTTTGGGTCAGAAATATGAAGAAGTTGTGCATCAATTGAGTAACCCTAAAATTAGTATTGAGTGTGTCGACTTCCATAAGTTAATGAAAAAGATGAGCGAGTTGATTGGGTACATGGACAAGATATTTGAGAAAGAGAATTATGGTGCTTTTCTATGGAAGAAAGGGGTCTTTGAAACGACACAGAAAGGCATATTTAGGGTGAATTGTATTGATTCCTTAGATCGAACAAATGTGTGTGAAAGTGTGTTTGGCCGACTGACCGCACAAAACTTCTTACGAGACAAAGATGTTGCGATCTTGAAAGAAGACACCACCATCATCGAGAACTTAGCACTGAACTCGATGTTTGTTAATTTGTGGGCGGACAATGGGGATTACATGTCGAATGAATACACGGGGACGGGTGCACAGAAGGCAGATATCACACGAACGGGCAAACGGACCTTCAGTGGGATGGAGAAAGATTTAGAGAAGAGTATAGCTCGGTATGTCATCAACAATTTCTTTGATGGAGAGATCATTGATAACATGAATACGTTCCTAGGCAATTGTGAAGGCAAATCTGTTGACTACAAATTGAATTTGCCACAACAAGTAATGTTTGGAGGGATGTTCTGTTCTATTATTCTCATTCTCTTGTGTCTTATTGCTATCATATTCTTCGGCAAAACTGATTTGATGAAGGCTATTGTGTTCTGTGGTATTGCACTTGCTGGATTTATTGGTGCTGGTTTGGTGTTGAAGAAGAAAGTCACTGTCCCTCCAAAAGTAATGAAATTCAAAGACTATGAGGAAGAAGAAAAGACTGAGAAGAATGTGAACAAAGAAGAGGCAGACATAAAGAAGACTCAATAAGTCACTTTTACTTTCATTGGTTCTTATCTATAAATATATAATATAATTTATTATATGATATTATATATTTTACAACACATTCAATACATAAAGAAATTCATTAAATCACATTGAAAATGAAGTCTATGACTCATCTTTGAAAGGACATTTCATGTCAATGAAGTTGTTGTAAATCTTCTCGTCGAACTTCTCGTTTGCGTCGTTGTTTGGGAGTGGGAGGTTTGTGTAGGTCTTTGACTTGAAATACGCCTTCATTCGCACGTCGATATAATATAACATTAGTGGCAACTTTGACACAGGAACGCGACTGCCAACCGCATTTGCGTGACCACCCCCCGACCCACCAAGGAAGAGTGCGAGCGGTGTGATGATCTCTCGCAAATCGACTGTTGATGTTCCTCTGAAACACAAGTCGTAGAGTGGAACTTCTTTCTCTTTACGTCGCTTGTAGTAAAAGATGGCAAGACCCACCATCTTCTCTTTTGTTGAACACGAAAAATGTGCTGCTTTCGACTTCCCACACGGCGGATTCAAACTCCACGCAATGTATTCACTGCAACATGTGTTTTCTATAACTGCTCGACGTGCGTCTTTATCACTTTTAGACACTTCCAACGCACGATAAACAAGTTCTGGTATTTCACAAGGGATCAATCCACTCACCAGTTGTCTGACAAAGTGTTCTTTTGTTTCCTTCTTCCTATAAACAGAGAGACCTTGTGCCATGATACCCGCATCGAGAAACAAAGATCGCTTCTCAAACTTGTTCATCACGTCCGTGATGTAATCTGTCTCGTCCATGTAATCACAAACACACCCAACACACGCTAACAAATCACACATCTCAGGAAGTTCATTTCGCCGTGTAAAGTACTTGTGGACTAGCTCACTCGCACACGCACTCTCATCGTTGATCATCTCCATCCCATCAGGTGGAGTTCCAAGTAATCTGTGGTGGTCTATGTAGATGACTTGATATCCCAAGCCAAGAAGACTCTCAAATTTGGCATACAACAACATGTACGTCCGCGCATCAAGTGCTATGTCGCTGATGAAAAGGTTTGTCTCAATGTCTCTGATGTCGTGGTTGATCCCCATCGGATGTGTGATCACCAAATCCGCATTCTTGAATCGCGGCACACTCAATGCTATCGCAGCACTGCACACACCATCCCCATCCCCATGACTGCATATCGTCCACTTGTCTTTCTTCACAACAGGAAGCCGCCCAATATCACCCAACTTGCTTGCACTTTCGTATTTCAAAACGTTTTCAGTCTCCATCGATGTCTTCTTTTTTAGTTTTTAATTTAATAAGTATAGTATGTGTATACATATTATACACACATCTTTATCTTCTATTTTTTGTAATATCAAATTCCACTTTTTGATAGTTCTAAATGGTTATTTTATAATATAAATATAATAAAAAAGTTTGTTATATACAGATAATAAAATATTATATTATAATTAGTAGATTATTTTGACTATTAATAGCCAAATAAAATTAAATGATTTTTATTTTTATTATTAGATAATACGCTTTACTGATTAATTAAAAAATTACAAAAAAACTATTGAACAAATAATTGAATTACATTTAGAGGATCAAACATCTTTTTTGTTTAAAATGTTCGTTGTTTGATTTTTTTTGGTTGAAAGTCGTTCTTATAGCTTCTTCAAATACAAATTTCAAATTGTTTTGAGACAGAGCAGAGCATTCCAAGTATTTTACTGCACCAATTTCTTTAGCTTTTTTATCAGCCTTTTCACTATTCACAATATTCACATTAAGTTCATTTCTCATATCACTTTTTGTGCCTACCAAAATAAAAGGAACATTACTCGAATAATGTTTCACTTCTTCAACCCACTTTGTACATGCATTTTTATATGATACTTTACTTATAACTGAAAAGCAAATTAAAAAAACGTCTGTCATAGGGTAAGACAGTGGTCTAAGTCGATCATAATCTTCCTGTCCTGCAGTATCCCATAACCCCAAGTTAATAGCTTTAGAGTCGACCATAACACTTGCACTATAATTATCAAAGATAGTAGGAATGTACTCAACAGGAAATGCATTTGTTGTATAACTAGTTAACATACATGTCTTCCCAACACTACCATCTCCCACTAACACACACTTAACTGTTCTCATTCTTGAATGTATTTCTTATTCTCTTCATTCTTAAATATTATTTCTATATATAGAGCATGACTGTACATTCTATAAATGTAACCCGTAAAGTATATTTATAGATCTATAAATATAACAACTTTTCCTTAATAAAATCTATTACTTCTGGAAACCCCAAAACTTCGAACCTTTCACTTAGCGGCGGTGCTAAAGAATCCTCCACAGCATCTTCCTGTGAGTGCGTCAAAGCACGGCAACAGTGAGATACCAAAGAACGCAGCGGCAAAGATCTCCCCGATCGTTCCGAAGATGACAAACATGTAAGCGTCAGCCCCCATAACAGGCGCAAGAATCAGAACAAGAACAGTACACAACAAGACGGTAACAAGTGCAATCACTCTGAATGGGTGGATGATTTTCTTCAACATACTGAAGAACCCATATAAGAAGAATGGTCTTCTTGTTAGTGTGTGACATCTCACAAATATAGTTTATTTATAATAAATTAATTATTAGCGTATAATATCCAGCAGAACAAACGACACCAAGAGAAACGCCACACCAATGACCTCCATTACCATGAAGAAATAGACTCCTCCGTTATCTCCGAGAACAGAGAAGATTGCTGCCATGATTATTAATATGAGCATACCAATTCCTATAGTCGACGCAAAACATATCATTCGCACTTTAACTGACAAGTTAAGTCCACACTTCTCAAACGGATTTTCCGACGCAAAGCTCGCCCCTTCTTCGACATCCCCACCACTTAAAAAGGCCATTGCTGCTGCCATCTCCAAATGATTTTTTAGTTTTATTCGACCGGCGGAAGAGATCAGTGGAATCAAAATTAACGAGTTGTTTTCAATTAACGAGTTCATGAGAGGTGTGTCGCCCAATTGAATTAAATAATGACATGATCGATGCTCTGAGCCTTTTCAGCACACTTTTTGATGAAATTCTTTTGACTGTCGACATACTCCTCGACCCCCTTTTCGACTTCTTTTTGAATTAACGCGATGATGTCGGTGACGGTGTGTAACATTGTGTCGACGGGTGTGAGTGCTGGGATTAAGTCTGAACTATTTTTGAGTGAGCTGTTTAAAGTGGTGATGGCTTTGTCAATGGTCTTTTCAAGCTCAAGACGAGCCGTCTCGACAACACACTTCTGGTCTTCAGAAAGATCGTCGAGCATCTTGAGCATCGCACTCACTTCAGACGCTGCTGCACAGACGTCCTGAATAGTCTTTAAGTCCCCTCCACCACTTTTAATGGTTTTCATCATATCGAGTGTTTGGTCCTTTTCATGGAATATACGAAGGTATGGAGAGATGGTTGCTATGACAACAAGTGCAGTCACATCGGTGTTGATAACAATCAGTATATCGACCAACTCTTTCGCTGGTATAGATGGGACTAATAGTTTCTCCTTTTCTGTTAACTCCGAGAGCTTCTCTTTAATTGGTCCACTGACGTTGTCGTAGCCTTCATATTCCGTGCTGACCAAGTTTTCAGTAATGTTCACTATTTCGTTCATTGCGTCTTTGACACCTGCTATATCAGTAGTGAGGAGAGCGCACGTTGAATTCTCGCAACACGCATTCTCGACACACGTGGAGATGCTTTCGTTCACTTTGTTCGCAAGCGGCAGGAACATTTTTGAGACATTCATAGTGAGTGTTGTTTCAAGTTCAGTTCGACCTAATTCCCTTTCCTTCCCTTAAAATTTTCGTTCCTGCATTTCCTTTTTAGTCTCTTGGACTTCCTCACAGTGCATTGCAAGTATTTCTGTTATACTTTTTAATTCAAAACTATTAATAAAGAAACTAATAGTTAAAACCATTCAATTGCATTAAGACATTTCCTCCATGTACTGCGAGACGATCACTTCTTGTTGCTTTTTGAGTAACATGTCCGAGACGGGTATCCCCATTTTGACAGTCATTTCATACAAATGTTCGACGATGAATCCGTTGATCAGCATCGACTTGTCTTGTAAGATCCTCACGCAGTTTGCGACGCGAGAGAGCTTTTCAAAGTGTGCGTTAGTCTTTTCTGGTTCCTTTCCAAAAGTGATGAAAATGAATCCGTTCATCCCACATATGAATTTGACTCCACAATTGAAGAATGAGATGTGTGACTTGCACCGCTTGATCAAAGAAGGGTGGACGACTAGTAACATCCCATTCGACAATTTCCCATATCTTTCATTTCGAGTGTGAATTTGAAGACCTGACTGACCACTCATGGCTTGAACTTCAGCGCTAATAAGTTAGTGAAGAGAACTGACTCATTTCTTCGTGTAAAAACAAACCAAATCAACTCGTTGACATCAAAGAACGACTTCATGTTAAGCGAGTCATCTGCTGTTCGTCTTCGTTGAATGCCATCGGGAAGGTTAACAGACGACAGTTGAAGAACTGCGTTGTTTTTCGCATTGATGTCGACCCGCCACGCACTTTGTCCTATCGACGCAATTCGCCCAACAATCACATCGCCGACATCTCCAGAGTACCTCGAACGAATCGGATCAACACACACTAATTTGTTGATACGATGGACAAGACCGTGGACATTGCTCACATAGTCTTGTCCCTTCACACTGATCCCATTGCCTGGAATACACCCTTCCTCATAATAAACGACGTCTCCGGGTGTTACATGTTTATCACCTAATAACGACACAGTCTCCATCAAATCACTACTTAGTTCATTTAGTTTCGTTTAGCTTTTCTATGGTTTCATTTTTAGGTTTTGACTCTTATCTCAAACTCTTTTATACTCGCAACTCCAAAATTCGATAATTTTCCGCTCTTCAGTCTAATTATTGCGGTTTTCCGAACTATTTCAATTTTTCATTTTTCCTGTATTTTACAAATAAAAAAGAAAATCAGAGGTAAAAGCACTCAAAAAACGGGAAGTCGACAAATAGAACATTATAATAAAAACAATTAAAATTAATAGTTAAGTGGTTTTCACAAATTGAATAAAGAACCAACAAGACTGGCAAATGCCGATAATTGATTACAAATGTGAAGTTGAAACGATGACTTCGAGAGTCCTAAACGACCAAAAGTAAGAAAATGCCAGGCACCCTTTTGTTTAAAAAGGTAACTAGAAAAGCTCAATGAATGCAAAACGCGATAAGCGGGGTGCGCTGCTTACCGAGAGTGACCTTCCGCGCACCTGTGATTTCTTGAGTAGTGAAATTTTGAAGTATTTACAAGACAACTGCAACATCGCGTACTTCGACGACAACATGGACGTCAAACGGCAGATCGACGAGATCGCGGAAATTAACGACGTATCCATTATCAGTGAGTTTAAAGAGCTTTTCACGACCATTGCAGAGGCGTATGGGGAAGGGACGCCGTCTGCCGTTATAGCTTCGATGTGTCTTGAAGCCATCAAAGAGTTTGAGCTCCAATATGTTTTACCGGAGGACGTCCAAAAAGAGCGAAAGCGGGAAGGGAGAGGTCTCTTTGGTGATGATTCGACGATCAAGAAGAAGAAGATTGAGATGTTAGTTGCGAAGTATGCGAAGCGCGTCTTAACAGAAGAGAGGTGTAATGAGATCGATGCGTACAAGCGGGAGCGCGACAATTTGATTCAACAGAAGAATCTCCTTGAAGATGAGATCACTCGCCTGCAAGAAGAGTTGAAAGATTCGATCGAAAAGGTCATCCTTGAAAGAGCAGAGCCCACCGATGAGTCAAAAGAGTTTAAAGAACCTCCACTCATCAAGAAGACAAAGATCAAAAAGAACAAAAAAGACTCCGAGAAGATCAACTTTAAACTCTCCACAGAGACTCCATCGCTCAGAGAGTCCGAGGAAAACGTCTTCAAAGAAAAAGACCAAACCGAGATGAGGACTATCATCGAGAAGTTGACTCAGATGCCTCCAGACCAACTCGAAAAGATCAAAAACATCGTCGAGCCCGGCGGAGAGGAAGTCGTCAAATTTAACTTAACCACACTGTCCGACGACAAATTCAGGTTGGTCAAGGACGCTGTTATGAATTTTTGAATTAATTGATTTTGAGTTTTTAGGGTTTCTTTAGGGTTTGACAAGCCTCAAGAATACACCAAAAAGAGCATCAACCCTACACAAGAGGCCATTCATTCTATGGAACAGCACATCGAAAACTACATTCCAACGCCAACAACAAAGATAAAGGACAGGTCGGACAGAGCAACGAACGAGCAAGTCTTGGACCACAGAACAAGGGTTGTCTTAGCAACGATGATTCGAAATGGACTTATTAAAGAGCTTCATGGCTCTGTATCGACTGGAAAAGAAGCGAATGTGTATCACGGGTTTGGTGAAGAGTTTGAACTTGCGATTAAGATCTTCAAGACGTCGATTCTGATCTTTAAAGATAGAGAAAGATATGTGGAAGGAGACTACAGATACCGAAAAGGGTTTTGTAGGTCGAACCCACGAAAGATGGTGACAATGTGGGCTGAGAAGGAGATGCGCAATTTGAAGCGACTTGGAGACTTTGGGATTCCAGCGCCTCGAGTTTTACGAGTGAAAAACAATGTGTTGGTGATGGAGTTTTTAGGAGAAGACGGGTGGGCGGCACCACGACTGAAAGATGCGCCTTTGAATGACGATGAGAAGAATGAAGCGTACCGACAGACAGTGTGTGACATGCATCGGATGTATAACAAGTGTAATATGGTACATGCTGATTTGAGTGAATACAACTTACTATGGTGGAAAGGGTTAGTGTATGTCATCGATGTAGGTCAAGCTATAGAATTGTCACACCCTTCTGCAAACGACTTTTTACGAATGGACTGTGTGAATATATCGAACTTTTATAACAAAATTGGAGTCCACACATTGTCTCCAAAGGACTTATTTGACCTTGTAACAAACCCTTCGATCAAGGAAAGTAGTGTCTTAGACATCATTAAGCAAAGATTCTCAGTCGATTGGGAGAAGGACACCGCTGTCTTCTTAAACTCGTTTTTGCCCAACTCTTTGCAGGAGCTCAACAAACCACTCAGAGACGTCTTCCAACCAAAGAAAATGACTGGTGTTGTTTATTTGCCAAATGCCATCCCAAAGCACATCAAGTTGACTCCCCTTCAAGTTGTAGCAAACGACGATTCTGCTTCGGAGGATGAAATCAACGAGATGAAAGTCAAGAAAGAGAAGAAGGAGATGAAGGAAAAATTGAAACAGGAGAAAAAAGCTCGTCTGGAGGCAAAAAAGACGTACAAACGGCCCGAGAAAAAGAAAGAGAACAAAAAGACTGAAACACAAGTCCCTTCCACAGAAGACTTGCAAAACACACCAGCCAACCAACCAAAAGAGGAACAAAAAGTCGTACAAGACGTTAAGCCCGAGGTACTCGTGGGTACCCCAGAAGATACTCAGAAGGAATGCCAAGAGATCTCTTCAGAGGAAAGTTCCAAAGAAGATGGAAGGAGTGAACCTGTTGAGATCGAAAAGGAAAGTGAAGTGAACGTCGACGAGATGAACAGTGAAGAGTACATCGAGTACGTCACTAAACTTAAAGAAGCCAAACGAGCGAAAAGAGAAAGTGATATTATCGAGGAGAAAAAGAAAATGAAAGAACACAAAAAGGAATACTGTGTGAATAGAAGGGAGAAGTTAAAGGAGAAGATCCCAAAGAAGAAGAAACAGCAGATGATTAAACATTCAAAAAGAAACCAAACGAAAAATTAGATTACTATTAATTTATTGTTCTTCTATCATTAATTATTAGTTTCTTCTTTTTAATTCAATTTTATTAGAATTATTTTATAATATTTACTATTTTACTTACTTGTTTAATAAAATAGTAATTTTATTATTTCATTTATTATACATTTTGAAGTAGTAAATTGAGAAATAAACTAAAAACTATGTAGTTAGTTAACCATATACACGGTTAGCCAACTGAATTATAGTTAGCTAACGAACTATATTTTAACTGACTTAATTATAATAAATATATGAATTTATTATAATTTAGAAAATATATCAAAAATATAACAATCATATAAAATAATATGAATTAACTATAATATATAATAATACTGTTATATAGTTAAATAAATAATTAAAAATATAGTTATATATAACAAATGTTATAATTATAATTAATAAATCCATATATTTATTATAATTGAATTAGTTCTAATATAGTTTGTTAGTCAACTATAGTTTAGTAAGCTAACGAAATATATAGTTAACTAACTATAAGGTATTAACTTTACTTCTCAAGTGAGTTAATTAAATTATTAACAAACTAGTTGTTTTCTATTATATAATTAAATACTATTGAATGATTAAATTAATTATTAAATTAATTATTAATTCAATTATTATTAAAAGTATAAATACTAAAATAACACAATAGTAAAGATGTGAACAAATCAAATAATATCAACAGAGCAATTCATAGACTTTGTTTGCCACCTCTTTTACGTCCAAGTCCTTCTCCTCTTTAAGAAGTGTTGATATCCCAAATTTGACGTCTTGTCCACCATGCCTAAGTTTCCCGAGTGAAATGAGTGCGGATATTCTGACGTTCGAAACATCGTCATTCAGCATAATAAGTAAATGTGGGATAATCTTTTCCTCAAGTACTGGACTCCCTTTCCCAGCAGCTTCTAGTGCATAGCACATACATTGCCGTTGTTGGCAATTCCCTTTAAAGTACCTAACAAACACTTCTATCATCTTTCCCTTTCTTTCCTCATCGTCTTGCACATAATGTCTCAACTCTTTGAGTGCCTCCACTCTCACCCCCATCATCGGCGACATCACCAATTTCTCAAGCGCGTCTAGGTAATACTCCGTTCCCACCAACGTTGGCAATTGTTTTGAAATTTGATACCGTGTTCGATAATTCCCTTCACTCAAGAGTTTGTTGAACAACTCTCCAAAGCGCTCGTCCAACAACAAAATATCGCAAATGTATCTTCTGATTTGACTCTTCACTCCCTCCGAAATGTCATACGCAAGTGTCGTGAATATACGAATCAAAATCTCTTTGTTTTTTGAAAGCTTTAAGACCTCCCCAAAGTCCATCGCTACTATCGACCGCATAACCTCTTCAACAGAAAGCGATTGTTTCTCGTACAACTCCAACATGTATTGTTCGTCGTCGGGAAATATCTCTAACAACTTCGGAATGATTTTAATGAACGCTCCAAAGGTTTCCGATGCAAAATTGCTCTCATCCGCCGAAGCTTCTTTATACACTTCCATGAAGTTCCTTTTCTGTACAACGCACTTCACAAATTCAGCGTCTTTAAAGAGAACGGGGAGGACATCCACCGCACTCGCAACTACCAATTTATGTTTCTTCGTGTCATTTCATCTTCCCGTTCACACTGAAGTTAACAACAAACGTCCTTTAACAAGTGCAAGTAGTTCTCGTACAGCACCAAATTCTCCTCCAACCCAAATTTCGATACAACTCGAATGTATGACTTCACGTAGTCTCTGCGAATGATCCACACATCGTCTTGTGTTATTTTACTCACCGTGTCAAACAAGAACATTTTCATCTCCTCGGGGCTTAGCATTTGCGCAAACGCACTAATCACTTTAAGTGACTCTCTTCTCACCGTCGAGTTCTCACTGATGTAATACGTAGTGATCCCTTTCGACACCCACACAAAGTCTTCTTTCACTAGCCTCGGCATGATCCCTACAACAACATCCGCCACCGTCGTTTCTTGGAACTCCTGTTCCGTGAACGACCCACGAACAACGGGAATGAAATAAAACCTGAACGTGTTGTCGTCCAAAAACCGGTACGACGCAATCAGTGCTCTTGCCGCCGATGTCTTCACCATCACAGAACTTTCTCCTCCAACCAAAAACTCTGACAGCGGTTGAATGAAGCATTGGATGCACCGATTTTTCGTGTTTGAATTTGCGTCAGAATTTGTCATAAGTACTTTAATCAAGTGTGGGAGTGTTTGTATGATCGCATCGACAAACGTCTTTTCCGTGTCGGGGTTGACCAAAAGCCGGAAGATCGCTTCAGACAGTTTGTCGGCTGCCGCAACGGCTCCGACCTTCAGAAACGCGTCGGGGAGTTTCCTCAGTGCGGTGTACCGTGTCGATTGTGTTTGTGAGATTTGCAACATCCCCGGGTATTTGTTCAGAATGTCTTTCGGTGTGTCTTCCAATGCAATCGACATGTCTGTCTTTTTCGAGTTCCTCTTGCTGTTTTTATTAATTATTTCTTTATTCTTTACTATATCCTTTATACATGAAAGAAAGAATTGAGTCCATCTTACTATATTTTAATGGCTTTTGTTTCATTTTTCTTTTTCATACAAAATGGTATTGAAAAACTCATTTTTTTCGACTTTTTTCCATCGACTTTCACTTTAACAGTCTTTTTAGTTATAATCCATTTTTTATTAATATAATATTAGAATAAATTAATAAAAAACTCTTTTATTATTTTTATACTATAATTTTCTTGTGTGAAACTTTATCTTGTCAAACTATATTGTATAATTAAAATACTAGCATCATACTAATTTTTTCAATATGTGGATTGAAAATGGAAATATAGTTCATTATAATAAATAATTATAGCCAATAATTATAAGTAGTAATGAAACAATTAAATAACTAGAAGTAACTAATAGTATAACAAACAATCAATTCACTCACTAAAACACTTGATAAAAGTATGTTTAAGTGCATCTTTAGCTTCAATCCGTTGACTTGGATCACATACAAGCATTTTACTAATCAAGTCAACACCATCACTTCCCGCTTTCCCACAAATGTTTTCGACACCTGTCCCACTGAAATTGGGTAACAAATCGCTCCAGTACTGCATATGAGTTACACCCTCCCACGTCTTTTCATTCGGCTTTCCAAGTAATTCGAAGATCATAAATACTTGCTCTATCAGCGCGTTTCCTTGGAACAACGGTTTCCCATTGACCATTTCCGCAATCACACACCCGACCGCCCACATGTCTATTCCAGTCCCATACGCTTTCGCTCCGAGTAACAACTCGGGCGCTTTATACCACTTAGCGACAACTTCGTACGTGTAGTCTCGCAAAGGAATCGCGATTTGTCGCGCGTACGTGAAATTTGCGAGTTTGACTGTTTGTTGTTGGCATATTAACACGTTGGCGGGTTCTATATTTCGATGGAGAATGCGATGTGTGTGTAAATAGGCCACTGCTTCAAGAAGTTGCTTGGTTATAGTTTTGATCGTCTGGAGGGGCAAAGCCCCGTTGAAGTTCTCGATGTACGTCTCCAAGTTCTTTTCCGCGTATTCGAAGACCATGTACGATCCCTCCGACGTGTATGAATAGTCAAGGAGTTGGACTATATTCTTGTGATTAATTTGTTTGAGGAGCGCTATTTCGCGAAGACAGTGTTGTTGAATGCCTTCAATGTTTTCTTCATACTCTTTGACAGTCACAAAATTTCCGCTCGCTATCGTCTTTGCTTTGTATGTGATTCCCTCCTCGAACGTCCCTATAGTACCCAACTTTTTGTATTTCTTCGCGATGATTTCTTCAAGAGAAATCGTCGTTTTGATTTCCGTCACTTGGTCGATTGGTATGTCTACGGCCTTGTCAACCATCTACCACCACAATATAAAATTTAAGTTAATCTTTCAATCTATTTCTCTCTTTTCATATTTTGTTATTCTTTTGTTATTATTTTTTTATATTTTTAGTGTTATTGTTTTTTTCACAATTCCAATAGTATTGAATAAAATTCAAGCAACCTAAATTTCGGGAATTATCGAGTTTATAATTTGATTCCTTATTTTTAGAAGGTTATAATTGTCATATTTTTTTACTTCTTAAAAGCAAAAAAAAATTAAAATATGTCAAAATATGCCGATAAAATTAGTTTATATAATTACTAATGAGTTATTACGAGTGATTTAATAATAATAATAATTAATAGTAATAATATAGTAATTTACAAAATAAATTATTTCTTTAATTAATAATGTTAGTATTATAATTATTATATTTAATATTAGTATTAAATAATTATAATATATTATAATATTTAATACTAATAAACAATAGTAAATTATAATTAATATCATATGGTATAGTATCTAACACACAAAAATGATAATTCATAAAACTTGAAATCATTGAGGAATTAATGGAAGTTGAGAATCACATAAGTCTCCAAAAGTCGATTTCAATGATAAACTCAGACCAAAACATAGCCAAGGATTACTTACCTGAGATGGAGAAAGAACTTTATTTCAAAGGTTTAGTCTTTTACATTTTCGGGCACAACAAAGACCTCTTAATGGAACATATTATATCAAAAAAGCCTGAGTACCTTTCTTTAATTAATAGTTTGGGAGAGACACCACTGTTTGTAGCCGTTTCGAGTCTCAGCGTATTAGTCCAGAAAATAGTTGATAAAGTTGGGGTGAACACAAAGACAACAGAAGGAAACAATATTTTGCACTACGTCTGCAAATATCCGGTCCCTCGAAGACTTTTAGTCATCACTTCGCTCATCAAAACAAACGCATTTTTACTAGAAGACAAAAACAATGTAGGGGAGACTCCTTTGCACGTTGCAGCGAGAAGTGGGGACTTAGAATTAGTCTTGTTACTTATGAAATATGGTGCAAACAAGTCTGTTGAGAGTTTGAATGGACTGACCCCTGCTTCCTGTGCATTAGAGTCTGGTAATAGTGACATCTATGAAATTCTTAATGATCGTGATGACATTGCGATAGAGGTGGGTGAAGTCTCTCCGACACTAAAAGATGGAGGGAAGAAGCTTACATTGAAAGAACGTTACGAAGAAGCCAAAAAGAGGACTATAGAACAGAAGTTGAGTATTGAGAAGAAGCTTGAAGAGTGGAGATATCACCGCACAACAGAAAGTACTAAAGAGAAGAAAGAGAAGAAGAACACAAGTCTTCAAGCCATCTTCCAACAAATTGATGAGGTGACTATGAACAAAGAAATGAATGACTTACTTCAAGAGAAACCATATGATCCAAGCAAGATGTATCACGTGTTTAGTGTCGACGGAGGGGGAATCAAAGGTGTCTTAGAGTCGATTATCATCGCTCGTATTTTGGCGCAAAACAAAGACTTTCTGAAGAGTATCGACTTACTCTGTGGATGCTCTGTAGGGTCCATTTTAGTGTCATTTCTGGCTGTGGGATATGCTCCAGAGACGTGTGCGGATCTGTTACAAATCATCTCTGAGAATGTTTTTGTACGATCCAAAATCAATGTGACTGAATGTAAATACAAAACAAGTGTGTTAAAAGCCATATTGGAATACACACTTGGTGAAACCAAAATCAAAGACATTAAGAGACACTTCTTGGTCGATTCTTTTAGAATAGACTCTACCTCGGAAAATCGAGAGTGCGAGGCAGTTTGCTTCACTAACTTACAAAAAGGATATGAAGAAGAGAGGCTGAGTGACATTTGCTTGAGGTCATCGGCTGCACCAACGTATTTTGAACCATACCAAATGTACGTGGATGGGGGTATGCTGAATAACACCCCTGTTGGACTGTCTTGGGGGTATTTATTTGGCATCAATGGGCTTAATTTGGACCCCAAAAGAGTGTCGTGCTTCTCACTGTCTGCTGGTAAGCCGGACCCATATTACATTGATTCGACCAAAATAGGGAAGGGAGGTGTAATGCAATGGGCTGTCAAAATCAGTGACACATTCTTTTATTCGATAGTTTGTTTCTTCAGCATTTGCATACCAATATACAGTTATACACAACAATGTACTCATTGATTTAGAGGAGTTGGACAGTGAAAGAGGGCGATTTGTATCTTGGGGACAGGTGGTTACGGTTTGACCCGCCACTTGGGTGTGTCATCGACTTAGATGACATTGAAAAGATGCCGAAGATACGTGAAATAGCGGAGACTGTAGACATCACCGTAGTGAATGAATGGGTACAAAAGCACTGGCTGAACTAAACGAAGTGGAGGTGTATCTCCAAGTATTTAAATTCATTTTTGAGGAAGTTTCAATGAGAAATGGTGTCAAGAAGAGAAGACAATAATATTAGAAATAAGTTAGAAAAGAATTAAAATAATATTATAAATTTCATACATAGTTTTGAAGGACGTGTACTAAGCAAAAATAGACGAATTGAACTCGAAAAAGACTATAAAATTCTAAGAAAACAATGTCTGCACTGAGCCAGGAAATTGGACGGTACCTCGACTCGTTCATTAAAAGTATCACAGCAAGCAAAACGGGTGATATTGAGTTAACGCCACCCCTTGTCATGCTATTGAATGGATTTTCTCATCCGTGTTTTGGGAACAAAGAGGCGTATGCAGACTTTTTAAGAGACTTACGGCACGTAACTATTGTCCCAGAAAAGGTTGACATGTACTCGGACAATCAATGGAAAGAAATGATTAAACTTCCAATTGGGTTTGTCTCGTCGTGTCGAATAACACGATTTGTATTAAGAAATTTGGACCAGGTATTTGTCGACTTGGGAACGCCAGGACTTGGAGACAGTCTTGTCGAATTGAATGTCACAAGCTGCCAAATTCGGAACTTAGAAATCTTTTTGGGAAGTACACAAGAAGTGGTGTGGAAACGTCTGAAGAAATTGATCATCACGGGGTGCAAAATACGAGAAATTCCAGTTGGGGTGTTCAGCTTGAAGTTGTACCCGAAGCTGCAGATGTTAGACTTGTCGAAGAATGAAATCAAAATTATTGAAAATGTGGAGGAACTCAAATTAGACACTTTAATATTGAATAACAACAAATTGTACCAATGCTACTTGTACTGCACGCCATATCTTAAAAATCTTTTTGTTGATTGTAATGACTTTGAAAGCTTAGATGGGTTCCAAGCATTTGAAGGACTCGAGTGTTTGTCGATTCGGAAGAATCATTTGCATTTTACTGACAAAGATAAGGACTGCTTCAAACTCTTGAAATGTTTGTGTGAATTGGATGTCAGTGAAAATCCGTGTGGAGACGCACGTCAAAGGTTTTTGTCTGCTTTGCCAAATCTGTCGGAACACTTGGAGTTCATTTTTAATGAAGACGACGTCCCAATGAAGGAAATAGGAAAGGTAATGCGGGAACAAAAAGTGGATTTGACTGAGCAAAGTATAGTCGCAAACATTAAAGCAAATTTGGATATTAACAAAGAAAATAACAAGAAGAATTGGGTTGAAAAAGTGGATAAATGGGAAATAGATTCACACACTGCAGTTGTTCTTCCCCAACTTAGAAAGGAGAATCGGTATATTAGTTTCATGCAATATATGGTTTCTGATGTAAAGAACAAACCATATGAGATGGTGCAACAAGACGTTAAGACTGTAGTTGAACTGAAAAAGATCTGTAACGTCAAAGTCGGTGTATTTTTAAGTGAAAAGAATAATGAGGGCAGAGGTGACGAGAATGTGTTTCCAATGACTTTCATCTCACCATTACAAGACTTTGAACGGTTTTATGTGCGACTCGGTGAGATTAAAAATAACATTCGGTTTGTTGTAGCGATTGACACGTTAGTCCAGGCCATTATAGATGAAAGAAAATTAGTGAAAAACGTGTGTGTAGATTGTGTGAATCAAATTGCAAGAAAGTACAATGGGCGAATCATCCGCCTTGTTCTTCCGGTTGAGAAAAACAGCGCGAGAGAAAAAATTCAGAAGGTGATTGACGTGCTCAACGCCAACGAAGACTTGATAAACGACAACTCAATTCGAAGAGATGGGCGATTCTTATTCGTCCAACAAGCACTCAAAATCCTTCGACAAGTCAGTGAGATCGACCGATCGAGTATCGGCGACGAAGAAAAGAAGAAACAACTCGACGACTATGTGAAACAGCAAATCACACCAATTCGTAAAGAAATGAAGAAAACGGACTTCGCCATTTCAATTACTCAAAGTTCAACACGAGAAGCCAATTTCTTGGAATCGAAACAACCAAAAAAGGTCGGCGAAGTCGACAAAAACGTTGTTGAGAGTGTACCTGAAGTCGCGACTGAGGAAGTCACAGAAGAAGTTCAAACTCCAAAGGAGCCCCGAGTCAGTCTTTCAGCTAAGAAACCAAGCCGAAGACTGTCGATGCGATTGAAGAAAAAGACACAAGAAGAGCAAAAGTCTGAACCCCGTTCCAAAGATATTTCAAACTCCCTTTCACAACTTTTGGAGGACAAATCGGAAGCTACAGACTCTTCAGAAGACAAGAGAGAAGAACCAAAAATCGAAGAATTCAACATCGAATCACCAAAAGAAGAAATCAAAGAGAATACAAACGTGCCAGAATTCACTAAACTCGACGTGAAGACGACAGGCGATCTTAGTTCGTCTAAAGCTTTGGAAGTTGAAGAGAGTTCAGTGCCAAAGTCAACCCACCGAGTGGCTCGAGGCGGAAAAGGACGAAAAAAAGCCACAAAAAATGCGTTTAAAGTTGGGTCTAAGGACTTAAAGGAAGAAGATGTTGTGCATGTGGAAGCAGATGACACAACACCGACAACATCGAAGACAGAGACAACTACAGAAGGTAGTGCTGAAGAGATTAAACCTAAGAAACCCATTGGAGGACAACAAATGATGCCAGGGCTTGGGATGGCACAGTTGCAAGGTATCCGCCTCAAAAAAATCGATAAGAATTAAGAGGGACATTCATTGTTTTTAAAGTTCTATTTGTTGAGAAAAAGACACTATCATACAAGTATTATGTTAAGTAAAAAAGTCATAGTATGTAAAGATAAAATCACCTGAAAATAATATCCAGATTTATTATTTAATAATATCGATTTGCTTGTGAAAAAATCGAGTCTTTGGTGTTATGAAAAAAAAACTATTCAACTAATTGAATAGTATAATATAAATATTATTTAAAAATGAGTGTCTTCATTTTGTTTTACAACAATGGCGGCACAACGAGCATCGACAACACTCATAAAAAGCAACGAACTTATTTTTAAAGTCCTTTTAATTGGAGACTACGGAACGGGAAAGACTTCACTGTTATGCCGATATACAGATGATGCGTTTAACCCCGTTTATGTCCCAACGATCGGAGTCGATTTCAAGTTTAAGACGATAGAAATAGATAAAAAGCAAATAAAGCTCCAAATGGTTTGTCACACACTGTGGTATTAAATTTTATTATAACAATATTGAATCAAAATAACTGGAGTCATTGACGACGTTTTTTATTACTCACTTTTTAATATAAAATATCACATGTAGTGGGACACAGCAGGGTCGGAAAGATTTAAAGCAATTGTAACCACGTATTTCAAAGGGAGTCACGGGTGCTTTCTCGTTTATGACATCACAAACGTCGATAGTTTTAAAAACATAGTGAATTGGTTTGAACTCATCAAAAAAGAGAGCCCTGATTGTCGTGTGATGCTCATAGGCTCTAAGAGCGACTTATCGATGGCAAGACAAATTCAGCAAGAATCAGCAGAAAATTTTGCACGAGAGAATGACATGTTATATTTGGAGTCTTCAGCAAAGGAGGGTACAAATGTTGACAAAATGTTTACAAAACTCGCTGAGATTATGCTCAACTTTTTTAAAATTATAGAACCACCTCAAGAAGAAAAAGACGAACGTGTGAGCATGGTAAAAGCCGAAGTTGTACAAAAAAAGTCGTGCTGTTAATTCATTCACTTTTTGAGTTGAGTTATATTCAATAATAATAAAAACTTATAATAATTTATATAATATAAAATGAAAAGTACTGAGTGTTTCGATAACAAAATAAAATAATAATTCCAAATTATTGTTCATATGTGTTTGTATTTTAAGTGGTATGAATTAAAAGAAATATTTAAAATATTTAACTAAAGTAATATTGTACTTACAGTTAAGAATTATAACAGCAGTTTGCCAAACTATTATTAACCCAATTATTTAATCAATTATTAAATTACACACAATCAATCATATTATTCATTATTTGAACTCTTTGCTGTGAGAATGTGGTCCTCTTAATTGGTTGATGAGATTTTGCAACATTTTGATCTTCTTTTCATTTTTGTCACAGCGGGATCGGATTTCTTTGGCGTGATATTCCTTTTCTTCAGCTAGAATTTTAGCGTTATGTTCTTTTTCTTCAGTAAGTTTTGTTCATAGTGTCAGTTAGTTGTGTGGTATCATTTTGGTAACCTTTTTCTAGGTCGTCCATCAATTCATCCATATATATGTATCTGTTGATATCCTTTTGCATCTCTTCATTTTTCTTCACAACTTCCTCCTTTTCATTCTGCAGAGTTTCGTTCTGATTTTTCAAGTCTTTAATTTGTTCTTCAAGACTATCTATTTTGTCATTTATAAGATTAAAAACCAATATTTCACTACTGTGAATCTCTTGAGCAATGTTGGTTCTTGGTTTCTTTTCATTTTTAATTTTTTGAAGTTCTTTCTTTTGTTCATTTGAAAGCTTCCATGACCCACCACTTAATCGGTCAAGTACGTTATATATGGATAATTGTGTGTACATTGTTTCGTTTGTTGTTTGAGACATCTTTCGTTAATAAAAGTTCATTTTTTGGGAGAAGAGATTTTTTCCTTATATAAATTGGGACCTACATTGACCACCACCTTTACCAAAAAAAAATATTTGCCGCGAGTGTTTTTTGAGGAAGTCCATTTTTCAGTTACTGTTTGTGCGTCCCCATGTCACCCACTTTCCTTGTCCGTACTGTGTGGACGCGGATGTGGTTCCCCCCCGCTTGCGGGGGGGTCAGGGGGGGATCCGCGCCAAGGGAGGACTTGGAAAGTGGGTGAAACGGTGCACAAACAGACTGTTTGAGTGCGTCTTTATGAGCCTTCTTTTCAATGCTCCGTCTTTCTCGGTTTCCACTAACTCGAGGTGAATTTTCGGCATTTTTTGAATTCGGGAACCAGACCTAATATTATCCCAGTTTCCTATTTACTATAATTTTAATTTGAATATGATTCGAAATAGAAAAAATAAATCTATTTTAAGAGGTGGTGGTGGTGGTCAATGTAGGTCCCTATATAAATTAGTATTAATTAATCATTAAAATACCATTTTTACAGTTTATTTTTTTTAGTAATTATAATAGTAAATGTATTATATATAAATAATAATAATAAAAATTAAACAAGTTAAAAAAAAATAATTTACTTTTAACACTTACTGTTGAAAGTGTATTCAAATTCTCTTCTAATATTTCGGGATTTGACCACTTATTTTTTAATATTATAAATATAGTAAAACCAATAAAAATAGTAACTGTAAATAAATACCAATTTTGCTATTATATATAAGGGAATTAGTAGAAAAGGAAAGTAGTAAAATGAATTATAAATAATTATTAAAAATTGGTTTAGTGGTTAGGTTGGTAGATGAATGTAAATGTGTCAATTCACTGTTCTGGTATAAAGTATAGTTAATTAATTAAAACATTATAGCATGAACCAAACTTAAAATAGAATAGACACAATAAATAGTATTTACAAAATAGAGTATTCAACAGGTAGTATTCTTGATCTATTGACATTAACTTGTTAAATTACTTCGCGTTAACCAAAAACTTCTCTCCTTTCTTCTCAATGGAGTTTGTCTTAAGAATTTGATCTATTTCAATTCAGTTGTTGGCCTTTGTTTTTTGCCTCGATTTAAAAGAGCTTTAAATATAAAATCTTTCTTTCGAAGAGACTTTACTTCAATGGCTTCGTAATTTCTTTTCCCTCTGAACACGCTAGACTCGTGACACTGATAGTTCCACTTCTTTGCACTGACTCCGGTCGAGTGATTGAATACACTTTTTTGAACCCAAAAGATGTTGGCTGTTTTGATTCTATTTGTATTTTTGGCATACTGTTTTTTCTTTTGAAGACTTCATTTCTTTTTTGCTCTCCAAAAGTATTGAAGCAAACTGTTGTTTTTCAAATGTTTATGATCTTTATCTTCAAGTTCTTCAGTACAAAGTAACATATCACTCGAGTCATCCCACATGCCAGACCACTTCTTTTCGAATTTTTCAGGTTTCTCCTTTTTATCTTTAGATTCTCTGTGTTCTGGACGCTTTTTAAACGAACTTTGAACAAACCCAATTTCTTTGCTAAACTGCAAAAAATATTTTTCAATTGCGCCCTGTACTTGTATTTGGTACACATTTATCTGTTTGGATGGTTTTGCGGCATAAGGAGGGGTATAGTTTAATTATTGTTTATTGTACTATACAATAATTTGCAAATTAACAAAAAACTTATGTAGTTTTCATCACTTTTGCCGACGATTTTGTCATTTTCAAAATAAAAATACAAAAAAAACCCGAAAAAATAGTAGTAATAATAACGTTAATTCTGGGAAAAACATAAATATGAAAAGACGAAAAAAAAGAGCGAAAAGAACTAAATAAAATCTTTAAAAACTATAGTAAAAATGAACGGTTCTGTACCACCACCTCCACCACAGCCCGAGTATGAGTTTTATGGAAACTACCAAACAACTCCCGGTACCCAGACTTTTACACAGGGACAACAACCACAACAGTACCAACAACAAATTCCGCAACAGGCGAACCCACAAATTGGACAACAAGTGAATCAACAAATAAACCAACAGATGGGACAACCATCAATGTGTCTTCGCCTCTGTTTTTGTCCGTTGTGTGACAAGCAACAGATGCTACTTCAACAACCACAACCATTTCAATGGCTTTTCATTGCTCGAGTTATCATGTTCTCGCTCAAGAGAAAGATGGGGAAACAAGACTTTTTCACAATTAATAGAGATGTGTTGTCCTTTGTGGTGGACCATTGGTACTTCTTTCAAAATTTGGAGCAATTCAGAGCTCCACAAGAACAATGGGTTAAAACTCTTAATGAACAGTTCAACAACAAAGACTTTTTCACACTTTCAGACGACAAGGGCGCTGTTAAAATCAACAACGACGTACCACCTTGGGACTATGATGGTGATGTTGTCCAGGAAATCTCTGCATCAAGTCATGTCGACGACTTGGATTCAGTTCAAAACACTGAACAAATACAAGCAGAGTTGAAGGAAAGTTACATGAAAACATTGCAAATTGCAAAGGTGGCGTATCTTACCTGTCAAAAAGCACTTTATGTGTACACCGACGATAATTCCAAAAACAACGTTTGTTTTCTTTAAACAATTAACAACTTATGGCGAACATACCGACTTTGTAGATCATGGCCCAAATGGAAGAGCTCCAAAAAGTCATCAACGAGACAAACTATTTATTGGGTTGTTTTCAGAAATAAATTGTGTTTTTCTTATCATTTTTTTTGTGTCACAGAATTGGATTGCATCAGGGTCTATCACGGAACAGGGAAAAATTTGGATCTTGTCCCAAAAATGCATTTTAAAATGAAAAGGGGTAAAATTTATTTGTTTTTATGCCAAAAATAAAGTAGTTTTAGTAAAATTCATAGTTATGTTTGTTTTTTCGATCTCCAAAACCTTTTCTTTACAGATGGTGACTTTTTGCCGCGGTCGTTATTCTACTTAAAACGATAGTTAACAACAAAACTATAAAATATTAAAATGTATAGTATAGAAATAAATAGTTAATAAATATAATATTTATATTATACAAAATAAAACTATTAATTGTAATTATTGATATTATAAAATATTAGAAATTGTTAAATAACGATAAAATAATAATTTAATTTATTAAAATAAAATTTGTTATTAATCAAACTTCTTGGAGTATACAACTTGCTTCCTTTTTACGAAACAAACATTCGCTTCACTCAACCCAAATTAACACCAACAACACCAGACCTATTGAACAAAGCTACTATTATCTTCTTGGTCTCATTGATTCCATAACTTCCAACATTTTCTTTGCGTGATATGTTATTGGCATACCAGTTGGTTCTCTTAATTTGTTAGAAGTTCTCAATGAATTGCATAGTCTTCCATCTTTTTCACTCAACTTTCAGATCCAATCACTCAAACATTTCTAAAACTCATCTTCTTGTTCAATTGTGCTAGTTGGGATTGGGGGCAGTGACCTTTCTTCAATTATTATTGAACCTTTTGTATTAACGGCTTGCTTGGCAACCCACAAAAACATAAATCTGAGGACTGGACAAGATGGATAGAATGAGGAATGAAGTGATGAAAAACAACATTGGGTTGATATACAAACTAGGTCATTTCACTACTAATATGACCCGTGAAATTGTCAATTGCAACAACAGCCGTTTCGTTTTCAAAATTCAACAATCTTTTTGTCCTTTTTATATGTAATATGAAATGGTTAACTAACCACAATTTAAAATTGTTCCACTGACGAACCCCGTTTTGGTATAATAAAATGACCAACCAGGAATGTCCGCTTCAAGATCAGAATAATATTCTTGTTTGGAACTTCAATTACTGGAGTAACAAAAAGCACCATCAAGAGAAACACAAGCTATACACTTGCTACGTTTGCATGAATGAGACACTCCAAGTTTAACTTCTTCCGAATCCTTGAGTTTTTCATACTTCTCTTTGGTAACATAATCAAATGTGTTGTGTTATCCATCCAATCAGAAAAACCAACTTAATCTACACCAAAAAAGTGCTGCTAGTATTCCATTGAACAACTTCAATGCTTTGTAATTGTCGTAAATATGGATGAAATCAAGCTGATTTTTTTAAATTCATCTAGCACTGCTTTTATTTTCACGCAATCGTGAAAATGTTCCATGTGTCCTCTTAAATCATTGTGTGATATTTTGAAGAAAGGATCAATTTTTTCACCCGTGTTTATTATAAGCAAATTCGTTAACCTATTTTTGAACACAATAATACAAGTTTTTAAATAAATTTATTCATTCTTTTTGATATTTTACGAAAATGCCAATCTGGATCAACAGTTTTATGTTTCTTTAAATGATCGGAAAATGTTTGAGGAGTGATGCCAATAGTTTACTCATAATTGTTAGAGAAAATAAGTATTATTTAAAAGTAATTTGATTTGCTCTGTCATTGTCAAAGACTCCAATAAAGATTGTTTTAATGATTCTTATTTTTTATTGTTTCGAGTAGTTTTTTGACCTTTCCTCTTTCCATAGGAGTGTTTATACACGAAGATAAAGCGTTCATTTTGATTTCTGGAAAACTTAAAGCCTTTCTTTTTTCTGTCATTTTTTGACATTTTGTTTTTTTTATAGTTTTTGTTATTCAAACATTTTTTGTTTATTCTTTATTTAAGAATAAATAAATAAGAATTTATTTATTTTTAAAATAAAAAACAAATTTCAAATGAAACTATATAAAAAACCATAAAATGGCTCATTCACGTTAGGTTGCTAATTCTTCAAACTGTAGTGATAAGTATTAAATAATTAATAAAATGAAAAACACCCAAATAAATTTAAATTTATATAGCATCCCACTTTTTCTTTTGATTGTAGTTAATAATTTGTATTTTGTAAATATTTGCAGTTATAAAACAAATTTGTGTAAAAACCACAGTTAATTAAATTATGTTTAATTTTAAAGAATCCTTAAAATTTTAAAACTAAATAAGCATTTTTGGTTATTGTTCAATTGGTTGTAGAAATTTAATTACTATTATAAGTTCACAATATTAAGACAGTTGTTCTGTTGTAATGTCAACATTTTTTTTCATTTAACGAATTGATGTCAAGTTTACTAATAAAAACAAAACAAACATGTGTTCAAATTGCAAAACAGGCTATGTTGGTATACTTTTGTTGATGGACAAATTTAATGAACTAAAGATATCAACTATCAGTATAATTTGTTTATCTGGAGTATCGACGTAAAACTTTTTATTCAAAGTTTATAAAGTTTTTATCGTGTGTTTAAACAATTGAAAACAAATATTGTCACCTGTTAAAAGCAATGAAAACACGACAAATGGTCTAAAGAAACTAAAATTTATCATTTTATACTATAATTATAAAAACATTAAAAATAACACAAACAACATTGAAAAAAAAAATAAATAAATGATATCACATTGAATCAATTTTTGTCATTTTAATTGGTTTAAAAGACATTTCCAATCTTAAAACAGTGGTTTCTTTTTTACTTATTATCTTTTGGTCCTAAAATGCCTTTTTCTGAGTTCAATATTGTAAAACCTGGTTATTTATCTTTCCAAAACAAATTACCATCCAAGTTTTCATTCTCGACTTCTTCTTGAAAAAAAAATAATTTACAAAACTGTCGTTCGCTTTTAAAGAAGACATTCTTTTTTAATCCTACCAAATATCCATAAATCAAGAACTTGAAGGAAACGAGAAACATAAGGAGTTAATTAAACAAAAGAGGTGTTGTTTTCAACGAGCAACACAATAAATATGATACATCCAAAAATTGGTTGAATTATCAAAAACCATCACAGTTGCAGGTTTGGTCTTTTTGTTTTTTGGTATTGTTTAAATAAATGCACATGTACTACATTTTCCATTAAAAATAGATTTTCAGTTCACCTTCAATATATTTTTGACAATATCTTAAAATTAAGTAAAATTTTAAAAGACCGACTAATTAATTCGTCA